GTGATTCTGTGATTTCTGTGATTCTGTGATTTGGATGCATTTTCCCATTGCGTGTTATTGTATATTGTAATATGCATATTTTTCTGGAAGCAACTCATACCGTAAAAAGTATATTTTTAATCCTTAAGAATCAAAGAAATCCCATTGTCAGTGTCTTTAACTTCTGAATCTGCCAGTCAGTTTCAATCAGATTTGGGGAAGTGAAGGCTTTTTAAAGAAAATACACTTCCGCAGGTTTCTTGGATATCTGTGGCTGTGTAGAGGAAAGAAACACAAATCAATACCCCCATTTAAGGCCAAAAAGCAATAATTTAGTTTCCTCTGTTATGGTCACAGAGGCAGCAGCTAGCTGGTTTATCAGCATGTGTGTACTAGCTGTGTGTAATTAGCAGTAGTGAAACACCAAACCTGCCACATCTTGGGTTGTTATCTCTGCCCAGTGAACAGTGGATGAAGGAGAGCCTGCAATCCTTTTAGCATAATTTTAAAGATATTACGAAAATTTGTTGTAATTTATGATGACTGTGGGGAAATATTCATATCACAGTTCTTTTTTTTTTTTTTTTTTTTTTTTTTTTTTTTTTTGAGTTAAAATTAGCAGGTTTTTATTGGATTGGTTGTCTGGGCTCAAGTTACTAGTTATATGGCATTTTCTCCCAGGTTTTATGAAGGTAAGGTATTGTCATTTTCACAGCATACCAAAACAGGTTTTATTGATACCAGCATTCAGTACTGGATAAAATTGTACTTACTCTCGTCATTAGTTAAATCTGCTACTTAGTGAAGGGAAAGAATTTGTTATTGCAGTAGAATGTAGTTTGTGCAGGCAACAGATTCTTCGCAGAAAATTGTACATGTTGTTGAAATAACGGTTTGTGTCTACCTCTAAAATAGAAATTTTATGTCAGTTTACCTGATAAAGTATGTTCTGTGTCATTCCCCACAGATGATGTTTTTATTTCTCAATATGCTACTGGCCAGAAAGAGGCTTTGAGAGCAGTGTTAAAGCAAAAGTAAGTATATGTTATATGTTGTTAGTGTCTCAGCTGTTCTATTTCTGTACAGGTATGCTACTATACTACTTCTTCAGTTTCTGCCAAAATGCACAGCTGGTAAGGAAAAAGTATTTTTTATTGTTCTCTGTTAGTATTCTTTTTCTGTCTGTGAAGGTGTTTTCAGTTTATTTTGTCATTCAAAGCTCACTGGTGTATCTTGTTTATTTTACATATTTTTGGTAATGCCATTAGACTGTTTGAATTAATGATTTCGTGATACAAGAGTCAGGCAAAATCTGCTCTGACAAATAATTCATTTCATACCAAATATATAATATTTTTAAAGACAGATAAGGACACCTGCTGTTTATCCATAGGCTGGAAAGATCAGACTTGAAGATCAGAAATTTAGTTGGACTTCGCTACTAGTACATTGAGCTTTGCAAAATACAACCTGTAAACATGCTCTTTGTGGCAGTTGCAGTCATCACAGGAGAATGCCTTTTATATTAGAATCTGCAACATAATCCTGAGAAATTTCCCATGTCATGCTGAAAGACAAGAATAAAATTATTTCCTGGGCATAAAGAGCTTCAAGGAGAAATGCTTATATAAGTAGTGATACCAATGCTACATGTGGGAAATAATTTTCTTGGAGGGGATATGGAGAAAACAATGTTATTTACAGGCACTTGTTTATTTTTATAGAACTCAGAATACTCCTGTACTTAAGGAGGTGAAGGTACAGCTCTTAGGAAATGCCTCCACAGAAAAAAAGGAAAGTGTTGGTCATGATACGAGGTCAATACACAGGGAAGTTGATTCTGCAACAACCATTGCCGCAGCAACTGCTGCTGCCATTGCTACTGCAGCTCCACTTCTTAAAGTAAGTAGCATGTGGTAATATTAGTTTCGTGTCCACCTAAAACAGTAGATGTTGAAATTGTTCGTAGTACAGCCAGAGAGACTGAATGTGCCTGCTTACTGTTTTCTGTGTGTTAGTAATCTCAGACTTACTGACTAATATACCGGAGAGAACTCATTTGAATTTGGCTAAATGGGCAAATGGACAGAGACCATTTGATTTATCTTTTAGAAGAGTTTCATGGTATTGCTAAACCACCAAAAGTTAGGGCTAACTAATATTTCCTTTGTCTTTTGGGAAGCAAATCTTTCCATGATGCTGGGAAGGTTGTTCTGTTTTCTTCATGCTTGCACCTCTTTTGCAGTAAGGTTTTTTTCCTTTCCTTTTTTTTCCCCCTCTCTCGCAGGTTCAAAATGATTTGGAAGCAAAAGTTAACTCAGTTTCAGCATTACTTCATAAACTACAGGAGACAGACAGACAACTTCAGCGTGTTGCTGAAGAGCAAACAAATACGAAGACTCAATGTGAGAAGCCCCACTGTCACGAAAGAGTCAGTGAGCTTGAAAAACAAATGAATGCTTTCATGGCTCAACGGATTCAGCATCTGGAAAAATTACAGGAGCAACAAATGAATATTCAGGTATCAAAGTAATGCAGAAGCTTTAGCTTAATAATTTCTTTTGTATCTCAGTGTTAATGTTATAATAATTTGGATTATATCTTAGTATTAGAAAGAAAGAAAGATCCAGTGGCCAGTATGTAAGCTTAGAGCTTTTTGGGAAAAGTTTTATTTCTGGTTCTGTCCCAGATACCTGCTCATCTACCCCACCCCTAATTTTTATGTCTGTGGAAAGTAAATGCAAAAATTGTGGAATGTTCTCATTCCCACTAAGAAATGGTTTAGACCTTTGTTAATTGAAGAACCTTTCATTTAATAAGTAGCCAGTCAGACTAGACATCTATGAACAGTTATAAATTGTTTCTTTGGAGAGTCCTCCACACTTTTTGAAAGGCAGACTAATGTCCAAGCACGTCTCTGATCCGAGGTTGTTGTTAATTCATTTTCTCTCAAATACCATGTCAAAATCTGATTAATATGATTATGTGACAAGTATTCATGTTTAGAGTTTTACTTGGAAACTAGTGCATATATGAAAAATACTTTGTAATTCTGTCCCTTAGTCTCATCTCATTAGCTCTGCAGTCAACATGCATGGCTTACAGCAAATTCATGGACCTTCCTCCAGTCTCATGACAAAACAGTCTGAGAAGCCAGAACAACGATTGCTTGCTAATGAAGTATCTTCATGTCAGAGGGGTTTATTTCCTACCAGTGGTCCGCTTGCCCACGGTGAAGGCAAATTCTTAATATCTTACTTCCAGTGATAGTTTTGCATTAATTTTGTTTCCATTAATATTGGATTGTACATCACATCAGTAATGAGTAGTAAACATTTCTTCTGTATATTTGATTTTATTGCCTAATATACTATATAATGTATACCACTTATTCTGAAAGTGTTCCAGTTTAAATTAAAGTGAGAGTTTGGTGTTTACTAACTGCTTAGTCTGTACCAAGAGAGGCTTAGACTTAACTTAAAATAATCTTACTGAGAGATAATCTATGTGGAATCTTGTAATGAACTAGCTCATACTATGGCTGGGTGTTTTTTTTATCCTTCTATAATGGCACTTTTAAGTATGAAACTTTCTGCATGTTTACTTTTTTAACTAGTTCTGTAATGTTTTGAATTTTTGTAAAAAAATTCATAATGTTGGCATGATTATTTTTTTTCTAGATTTGTTTTCCTGTGAAGAAAATTGTTAACATTTAAATAACTTTTTTTCCCCCCCCCCGAAGCATATTCAAGCCAGTTTCAAAGTTGTGGCATTCATACACAAAAATCTCCTCTAAAGACACCAGTTCCTCGGAGATATGCTCCAGAACCTGTATCAAAAAATGTAAACATCTCAAAGAAGGAAAACCCTGTAACAGAAAAGGAAAATATTCCCAAATCCAAAAGTGAAGGTATAGTAAGACACTCCTGCCCCCCACTGGCATGAATGGTATTGCCAGGGGATTACTTTTTGTGGTCCTCACCAATTCTGAGCTGTTGGGTTGCTGGCACTTAAATACATATATTCAGAAAGTATGTTTGGGAAGGGTTACTTTTGTTAATAAGTCACTTTCTCTTAACTAACTGAAAATTTAATGACAGTACTGGTCTAACCTATAGTGTCTCGACATGACTGCTCACTGAAATGTTTTTTCAGGTGAAAAATTGAGTGACCTTTCATTGTCAGGTTTAAGGAAGATTATATAGAATAGTTAAAAGCTTGGGATCTACTCAATATCATTCTCATTGAATGAATGAATCAATTGAATATTTTTTCACAAAAACATGCATTCATAGGGTCTCTAGGCCATCATAATGAAAATAGCATGTGTGAGGCAAAGGAAGTACTTTTACTGCTTTTGATCAGTTTAGTGCCATGAAATTAAGTTTTGAAGATTTCATCAAAAAATAAAGCTTTTTTTTTTTTTTAGCTGGTTGTGTTTAGAATTGTTCGAGGATCTAAGATTGAGGAAGAACATTTAAAAGATCCAGCCATTGTACTTTTATCGTAGACAAAATGCCTGTTTGTGTCTTCATCAGATCCTTCTCAGAGACTGCTGCTTCTATCTCTTTTTTTTACAAAGCAGTCACATATTCCTTTTGTTCCCATGAAACGAGACAAAGGAAGAAGAGCAAATCTGTGACATTATGGACAGAATGTTTCTCTGTGTCTCAGTTAATTGCTGTCACAGTTTCTTTCTTTTCTGACTTTGCTAATGTAAAGATAATGTAAGATAGTGTGAGTGGTTTATGTGACTTGTCTTATCTGAAGTAAATCTACATTTTAAAATCTAAAAATTATTTTTACTGTCCTTGGTGAGTATTATATAGTGGTGAAATATCTGGAAAGGAAAAGAAAGTGTGGAATACATTGAACAAATTTAGCTTTCTTTTTTCTGCCTTAGGTGAAGGGACCCTTCTTGAGCATATTCTGAATTCTCAAGAAATTCCACTGGGGCAAATTGAGCCTTCCAAGAAGGCAGCATTAAACAGTAATAAAATGAGCGGGCCTTCTGACAGAGACAGGTAAATAAACAAAACAATCCAAAACTGAGAAAGACTTGTTTGTTTTAATGAAATTGAGAAAGGCATAGTAGATATTGATGGTGTAATAGAGTCACTGGTGTGGTCCTTGATTCTGACTAAGTGGTACTTGAAGTAAAACCCTGGAGCACTGGTATTTGTTATAGAATCATAGACTCATAGAATTGCTTGGGTTGGAAGGGACCTTTCAAGGCCATCTTGTCCAAGAACCCTGCCATGAGCAGGGACAGCTTCAACTACATCAGGTTGCTCAGAGCCTCGTCCAACCTGACCTGGAATGTTTCCAAGGATGGGGCATCTACCACCTCTCTGGGCAACCTGGGCCAGGGTTTCACCACCCTCATTGGGAAAAATTTCTTCCTTAGATCTAGGTTAAATCTACCCTCTTTTGGTTTAAAACCATTACCCCTTGTCCTATTGCAACAGGCTCTGCTAAAAAGTCTGTTCCCATCTTTCCTGTAAGCCCCCTTTAAGTCCTGGCAGGCTGCAATAAGGTCTCCCTGGAGCCTTCTCCAGGCTGAACAACCCCAACTCTCTCAGCCTGTCCTCCCAGCAGAGCTGTTCCATCCCTCTGAGCATTGCTGTGGCCTCCTCTGGACCCGCTCCAACAGGTCCATGTCTCTCCTGTGCTGAGGGCTCAGGTGCTGGATGCAGCACTGCAGGAGGGTCTCCCCAGAGCAGAGTAAAGGGGCAGAATCCCCTCCCTTGACCTGCTGGCAGTGCTGCTTTTTCTATGCTACTTTTGTATTTCTGTCATGCTGAACATAGGTGAAAGCTCATTGCTAAGAATAGTTCGTAATGTCTTCCTCAGAGGTCAGTGGGTGTCACTTGGAGTGCTTTTCTGTCTTACGGGTGTAAGTATTCTATTGCAGCAGTTCGTGTGGTGTCAAGGAACCAGCTATACAGGCTTTGTGTTAAAGTGAAATTTCCTTTGTCAGTGAGACTCCAAGCTGCCTGCTTATGGGAGCTGAATGAGAACACTTTGTTGGGAAGGAGCAGCATCAGTCTACCCATTTCTAAGCTTTAGAGTCAGTTAGAAAATTTTTTTAGTCATCCAGTCTGAAACATCTTTTCCCCAGGCAATAATTTGATGTCATAATTTCACTAACGTAATGAGAAACAGCTTCATAGATACTGTCTTATTTATGATAGTATAGACAAAAATCTTAAGTGCTTCAAATGGAAAGGTATCCAAAGTTTAAATGTCGCTTTATTAGATCTGAATTGTAGATGCAGTTTCACTGTTCAAAATACACGGCTACAGCTCGGGGTGTTAAGTGGTAAACAGAGATAACCCAATAACCTGTCTAGCCTCAGGTGAAAAAGCAAATTCCATTTTATAAAAAGGTTTGATATTCTTGCACTTTAAATTAATGCTCAGTTTCAAAGTTGTCTACTTTGTTGGGCCTCATGAAAACCCATGAGACTTTTCATCAACAGTGTTTCTTCCATCAGGCGTACTGCTTTACACACAGAGTCATTCCCTGCTTTCGAAAGCTCCTTCCAAAACTGCAATTCAATTGAGAAAACGGTGAAAAAAGCAGATGATTTACTTCAGGATCTTAGCCAGTTGAGAAGAGAAATGCATGATATGCTACAGGTAAAGTAGAGACAGGTAAAGCCCATGTTATCAGAATGACCAAGAGTTTGATTAAGGGAAATAAAAAGTGTGGAGGAGGTCTGGTATCAGTAAAAATGTTATCCTTGCTTCTACCTCTGTAAAAAGACTGACATATGTTTACAATTACTTGAAATATTGCAGTCTTGCTGTGTGGAAGGGCTTTGAGCCTGTGTAATGATGTCTCAGGCAGTATGCAGTGGACAATGATATATCATTGTATTGTTTCTCATGCTAATGATTTTGTACCTTTGGTGTTAAAATGGTTCTGTGCTGGCAACATGTAACTTGTGTCTGGCTTTCGAAAATTGGGGCTTTTATCTGTATGTTAACCTGGTTCCATGTAGAAGCAAGGTATACCTGATCATTTAGCCTGTCTGCTGTGATCCTCTGTTCTTGTAAATACATGTCGTGGGAAAGAAGAAAGACTTGAAAATTCACAGGTTTGTGAATTGGCTTGGAACATAATAGCTTTGATTCTGTTGGTTCATTTCTGTGGTTGAAGGTTTCAGCTTGCATATTTCCCTAAAAATATTTTGTATTACATGCCAGTTATTTGTTCCTGTATCATTAGAAAACGTAGCTTCATCTGTCATATCTCCAGTATAGCTGATGCATTGTTTCATAGATTTTGTGACATATTAGTGGATTGCACGTTCTTACTAGTAAGAGAACAGATGCTATGTGCCCCATTTATGTTGCAAATACGTGCTTACTTATTGTTAAAAAACTTACCTTGAGTAACATACCTTAGTATAGGCAACACAGAACAGGATGAGATGGGAGAAGGAATGGCAGGTGAGAAGGACAATGTTGACATACATGGCTTCAAATATCTTCTTCTTTCTTACAAAAAAGGTCAATAGGGAGATAGAGGTAATGACTTCAGCAAATGTGGAGTTGACTCAATTAGATACTTAGCTATTGACTTCTCATCATGGAGAGATTTGAAGAGTGAGAAAATAAATGCTTGGGATAAATGACTGCTAGCTTTGTCACACAGGCAAACGAAAGGCCTGAATTAACTGAGATAGGTTGAGATGGAACAGAAGGTGGTGCTCTAAACCAAGAAGTGTGCAGTGAGATTTAGTAGTTCACAAGGAATTCATTGTGCCCATTTAAATTGATCAAATATCTACTGTAGATTTTACCTTGACAGATCTGTCTTTAGATAAGTTTCAACAGCTCTTCTTTCTTTTTTAGGAAGCAGATTTGTGGAAATCAGACATGAATGATCTTATTAAGGTATACCTTGAATTATTTTATTTTCTTTTTAATACTGGAACAGTTTTGAATATGCTTGCAGTGAGATAACACTACAGTAACTATTGCATACCTTTATTTTTTTGAGAAGGTTGCTCTTATGTGCAGATTACACTACTCAAAGTAAGATTTCACTACTTCTTTGTCTTGTCTTATTCAATCTTAGTGAACTACTCTGAGAGAATAATAAAAATGTCAGGCAGAAAGCTGCTGTCTCAAATGAACATAGTGTGGACTGCTAATATAGTTACCATTTCGTGATCTGGGTCTAACTGGCAAGTCTACATTATTTTGTGGTTGAACATGTATCTGTATTTCTTACATTTTCTCACAAATTTTACCTGTCTTATTGAGGTAGTATTTGTCAAAAAGTTTCATTTTAAAACAAAAACCTGTGTAAAATTGGTAAATAATTTGGTATATTGTCCTTTTCTCACCAAGTAAAACAAAGATCATGGAATCAGTGTGTTGATTTCTGTTTTATGATGTCCATTGTGCTTTGGCAGTACACCTGTTAGAATTAAACAAAAGTTTATGTTCTGATTTGATAAGAGTAGCCTTTAAGCCAAAACTGATTTGTGATCTGTGAGATAATTTTCTGTTCATTCAGTTAGTGATTTCAGAGTCTAATCAAGTTTGGGTATTTTGGTTTTGTTTTGGGGCTTCTTTTTCTTTACACACATTTATCACATTTAAAATTTTTTTGTTTGTTTCCTTTCTGGAAAATGAAGCACTTTACTTGGGGACCTCTGGGTTTCATCAGGAGTGTGAGAATGAATGGTAGAACTGTATCTGTATGACTGCTTGTTTCCCATGTGCTTGTGTCCCTTCCTTTTGTATTTAGCAGCTAATATATGCTCGATTTTTATCTCTGTAAAAGGGTTCTGCAAAGCAAAAGGCTAATAGTTGCTTCTTTGTTTCTTCTGAAAAGTGAAGATCAGTGAAAGGGAGAGATGATCATGGTGCTGTTGAGGGGTTTATTTTGTTGTTGTTGAAACTTATATATATTGCTTGGTGTTCCTTGGGGTAGATTTATGCTGAGTGAGTGCATATATTTAGAGGATGTTGGTTTTCATTCGGCTTTTAATTATACTTAAATGCTGTTACATGGAGAGATTTGCATGTGATACTTTATGTACCTAATTGGTATCTTTTCACATGCTTATTAGCTTCATTAGCATTGCTTCTCATACATTACATCATTTTGCATTTGAGAGCTTTTTCATGTCTTTCCTATTGCTTGACTTTTAAATATATTTGCAACGTATTGAACGTTCTTGAGTAATTGAAGGTGATGATAGTACACATGGACAGTATTTCATATGACAGGCATTGATGTGATAATAGAATAATAAGAATTCTGATCAGTGTGTAGAAAATTGAAATTTCAGTCTCTGATTAAAAGCTAGAGGTTCTGTTTCAATTTTAGAAAAAAAAGCCTACTGTTGCACCTGATCTTCCTGAACATCATCTGCTCAATAAAACATCCATCCTTCAAAATGTTAAAGTGCCAAAATCTATACTGAGGGATGCTGAAATGATTTTGAGAGGAGTTCAAAACAATAAAAAAGTTCTTGAAGAAAATTTGGAAGCTGTTATTCACGCGAAAGATGGAGATGCCATGTATACTTTTATTAACGCCTTGACTACAAACAGGTCAGACCCTAGAATTCAATGCTTTGTGTGACTACTCATTGTATCTGCTCACCTTTTATCACCTATCTTTCAATTTTTTTGATTCCGTGCATTGAAGAACTAGTGCAGTAGTCCCTTGGAAAAGGGGGACTTACCATTAGGTGATTCTCTTGAACTTCAAATGTTTTTTGACCCTCCTGGTGTGAATTTAATTTCTTGGCAGGTACCTGTTACTTCTTGGTAAACCTGAATTATGAGACTATATCATCTGGACAAACTGCTCTGCTGTCATGACAAGGGGTCATTTAGCTTTTTGTAGACCAACTTGCATTAATAGGAAAATTAAAGAATAATTTCATCATTCAGAACAGAAGAGCCTTCCTATGCCTCTAAATGTTACAGAATTAGTCATACTACAGCAGATCTTTGACTTTTGAACTTTTGCCTTCTTAGTTGTGTTAAATACTCCTGCTTGAATCATAATGAAAGTTTTCCTATTAAAATACAACTTAATCTTGCGTTTTCCTGAGGAATGTATCTGTTCTCTTCATGTAAAGATTTTTCTCAGGCATGATATCTGCTATAATTATCTTTTAGAGGAAATAATAATTTGTGTCATCTGCTTTCTGTCTTTTGAGTTGGAATATTTTTGTTGCCTTTTTTTCCTCAGTTTTTGATCAAAACAGGAACTGACACATAGCTGTCATTTATTTATAGATGTTTGTAATAATGTTACCAGTGGCGGGGTGGGGTTTGCAGGTAGCACTATGAAAGAACAGATTTAGGTTTGGGAAACTCGGGTAGGCCATGCTTGGTGCCTTTTGGAGACTGTAGAGGTACATAATCTTACTGTCTGTGTTCTGGCTTTCTCTCTTTATAGTGTTTATAGGTCACTACTTTCCCAGGAACAAATCTGTGCAATTTAAGAAGCACTGACCTAAAATAGTTCTTTCTTCTATTTCAGAGATGTATTGGAAGAGATTCGTATCAGAAAGACTGTGGATGAGTGGATTAAGACAATCAGTGTAGAAATACAGGTATGGCTGCAAAAAATAAATTCAGGTTTTTGCATTATATTTTTTTCACCTTACATTGTTCCTTCATGTCAGTAGTTAAACATGATTCACTCACAACTTGAAAACATGAGAAAATGGCTTATTATTACTAGTATGTAGTATGCTATAGTGAAATATTTACCTCTATTTTGAAACTTCAATTGCTTAATGGAAATCACTGGTCACAGTTGCTGTCTAACGTGATAAACAGGCCATTTCTCAGAACTTCAAAGTTATCCACAGACTCTTCTGATAGCCTTGAAGATAACATCTCCTTTTATTACGTTTATGTTTTATCTTTAGGCTGAAATGGCAAGAAACGATTTGGAACAAGTGAAATATGATCAAAAGGTCCCATGGATCAAGAGAGCCCAAAACATCAAGGCTATGAAGACCAATAAAGAAATTAAAGCAAAAACTCAAAAAATCCAAGGATGCTCGACAAAGAAGCCTTTATCTGCAGCTAAGCCATTGCAGAAGCAAGCAGAAGATAACACAAGCAAACAGAGGTTTAGAACTTACTTTTCTTCTGAAAGTTTGCAGAGGAAAGAAAAAAAGGCAGATGTGAGTCCCCAAGCAGTTGGTTTCTTTTTTGGTAATGACTACTATGCTTTAGATTGCAGTAGTCGTGTGAAAAATTGTATGTGTAACTGCAATAATTTTAAAAGAAAGTGATAGCCCTGTCCTGTGGATTTCTGTTGTCAGGATTGTCCTTGTTTTCATGTACTGTAGAAGCCTAAGCTAAGTGTGTATAACAGTGTAGAATTCATTGTCATGTTACGAATTTGAATTTGTCTTACGCAGTACCTGCTATTTTACTCAGATGTTAGTAAGCTTCTTGTATGTATTCTGTATGCGTAAGTTTTCATGTGTGCTTGCAGTTTATACTGTTTGTTGCAGAACTTACTCTTTTTACACTAGACTTTTGCAACACTGCCGATGTGTTCAAATTTTCATACATGAAAAATTGTAAACTACACTTTTTTTTTTTTTCTTACTTTTTTTTTTTCTGGTGTGTGTCAGGAACCTGTGAATGGAAGTGCAATTGTACAAAATGAAGACTATCTGTGTCAAGTGTATGGGAAACCAATTTACCAGGGCCATCGTAGCACGCTTAAAAAAGCACCGTATCTGAGATTCAACTCTCCCTCTCCCAAATCTAAACTTCAAAGACCCAAGGTGATAGAGTGTGTCAGAGGTAAGTAATTCTTTGATGTGAATAAGGTGTTCCTTCTCAGTTTTTCTATTAGGAATTCCTTATAGAAATTAAACTATTTAATTGTAGTTCACCTGCTCTTCAATTTAAAGCTTAAGCAACTTGCAGTAGGCTTCCTAGAAAGGTGGTCAATGCCCCATGCTTGCCAGTGTTTAAGAGGCATTTGGAAAATGCCCTTAATACCATGCTTTAACTTTTCGTCATCCCTGAATCGGTCAGGCAGTTGGACTAGATGATTGTGTAGGTCCCGTCCAACTGAAATTATCCTATCCTATCCTAAACTCTTTTCAAAACTAAAAAACACCAGTAGGTTTTCAGATTTTCTTAGTGTGTATCTCACTTATTTTAGATTGTCAAATTTATACTTCATTAAATTTGGAAATTTAATAAAGTATAAATTTCACAAACATATTAATATATATTGTTGCCCAAGTCTTAAGGAGCTGAATTGCTAGAAGTAATGAGATAAGCACCTGAAAGCTGAGTGTGTTAAAAAACTAAATCAGCTTTTGATGAAGGTTACTGAGAAATGTATTCTTCCTGTCATATCATTTAAATGATTGATTCATTCAGAGTTAAGAAATCTAATGAGATTTGAAAAATTAAGGAAGCCTGATATTTCATTTCCCACTTCTAATACATTAATTGAAATACAAAAATTTAAATTTATGGGTGTGAATATGACATCTATTAACTTGAAAATATTGAAAGACATGTTAACATTTTAATTGGATGCATGGGTTAAGTTCGCTAAATCCAGGTAACTTCTTTTGTTAGTCAAGTCACGGTTAAAAATGGAGTATAACTCTCTTTTGTACTAGCTTGTTAAGATTATTTAATTGATTAAGGTAATTAGTGGATTAATAATGAATTCCATGCAGTAGTTTTGTAGGCAAAGTGTTAGGATCAGATGATTCTGATTTTCAAATCTATTAAAAATATGTAAAAATAATAAGAAAGTGAAACTATATGGTATCTGACATAGGTAAGTGTAGATAAACTTTATCTTGAGTTAGTAAAAATGTTTTAATTGGATCTGTTTTATTTCCTAGTTATCTTTTCAAAACTTAGCTGATTCTTAATACAGAAACTAAGATTAATCTTTAACTGATATGTCAGAAAAATAAATATGTATCATCTCACTGTGGGAGAGAGTGAGCAAATTACGTGGTAAAAGATAATGATGGAGAAAAAGAGTGTGGTAAGTGTAAGAGGCAGTTAAAGTGATAATGGACACAATCAAGTTAATAGGATCAGCGTCAGTGGAAAAATATTGGTTGGCTTCCCTCTATGCTTCTTGCACTTATGCTGTTGTTACCCATGCAGGGAAAATATACTTGATGCAATCTTAAGTGTCATATTTAAAAAATGGTGTCCGAGTTTTTATTATAACTGTCAAAATATTATATTCTGTATGAAATAAAAAGAGATAAACATGAGAAGGCAGTCAGTTGATGAGACCATTTTTTCAGGCCATTAAAATGTATGGTATAAAACATTTATATGTCTTTGAAGACAAGCACTGCTGGTTTTTGTTTTGGGGGTTTTTTTTTGACGTTATGATGTATATCCACAGTAGCAAATCCTCAAAATAGTACAAGAATCTGTTGTTAAGCTTAGTGTAGTCTTTATGCTATTTCTTGGCAATTTTCTTACCTGTGCTCTGGACCCCAGTTGTGATCCATGAAGGAAGAGTGTTATTGGTAGAAAGTATTTGCAATTCTCATAACCCTCCTGGAAAATGGGGGTTATAGTCCTGGCAAAAGTCTAGAAGACTTTTTAAAACTTACTTAGTTTTTAAAAGGTGGGCACTTGGTATATGAAAACGGCTAGTCTTGTTGCTTATATATTTTATTTGAGTCTCTTGAAACACTTCTATTTTTGTGAAAATTGCTGGTATACTCATTTGAAGGACCAGCATGATATACCACCCTTTTTGACTACTGGCTATGCTGCACACCTGTAGTTTAGTTTATTCTGTACAGATTTTTTTGAATAAAACGTGTGCTACTAAGCACTTAGTATAGCAATAACTGTGATACAGTGACCGCTAAGATTTGGATTGAGAACAGACACTTTAAAAATATTTAATCAGCAGTTCTGCTTTTGCTAAGTCCTAAATGACATTTTTCTTCTGTATTTATTGGGCTCTTGTCCTTTATAGAAGGTCAGAACCTTTCCAGGGGGGCCAATTTCATCATTCCAGAAACAATACCGAGTAAAGAGTCAGAAAAAGTGCCCCTCTCCCCTCTCCCAACCTATTTATAATACATAGGTCATTTGATACTACCACTTTTCTGCTGGTAACATGTTTAATTCAGTATTGTCAGTGAAATGTAAAGGTACAGGTTGCATGCAGTTGTAATAAGCTGCTCTTGTGCTTTAGCGTGTTTTCTGTTGGAGGTGAATAGAAATGAAGGAGAAAACTGTGTACTGAAGTGTACTGGATCCATTGCTGCATTCAATCTTCAGAACTCCTGCATGTGACAAATATGGTTTAAAAGCTGTTTGCTTGAAAACAGAATGAACTCTGGATAGCCTTTACTCAAAGTGATTCTCCTCCAAGTCATTAAGTCATACTACAGCAGTACAGCAACATATGTGTTTGCAATAATAAAGCTGCCATAAAATTTGTTTCTCTATTTCACATCAGACTGCAGTTCCAGAAAGTTATGATTTTGTCTCTGTCTTGACAGTAAGTAAAGTAAGACACCCCCTTGTATTCTTATCTAAGGGAAGAAAGGAAGAATATGGAATGTTTTTATGTCACTTAAAAGAATAGCATTCCAATTAACATGCGTCCTAGTTCCAAGTTTTCTGATTTTAATGGCTTTACATTGAGGTCAGCCTTTGTTTCATACATTGCCTGTCTTTGACTCTTCTTATAAGACAGTTGGTCAAGCAGCTTAATTTTTGGGTTTTCCTACATCCTGCCAATAAAATGGAAAAGCAATACTTCGTGTTTCACATGGGTCTCATGAAGACAAAATGGTTAAATGTTTTTGAGGGCTGCTTTTCTGAAAGATGCTGTTAAGGCAGGAAAGTATAAATAATAAAATTAGAAACAGATCTGTACTCCTCTCTAGGAGGAGTATAAATATAAAGAAACAAAGTTGAATGAGCACTTTAAAGCACCAGATTCTTAAAGAAAGAAATCTTGCTCGCATTAGCCATGGTTGTTTTTTTCCTTCACGGATCTGCACCCACAGATTCCCTTCCTGGCCTTGATGTACCAGGTGATAAAGGCTTAAAAATTATTGGAAGTTGTTGGCCTTGGGTTTGATTGGCTGGAAAATCCAGACTTATTAAATGACTCTATTTTGTTAGAGCAGTCCACTGAGCTTGTTTTAAATTAGTGTTGGAATAAGGATGTTTATTTAAGACTGAAACGGCCATCTGGAGAGTCTCTTTTCAGTCATTTTATAACTCTCAAGCATTTTCTTTGCAAATAAACTCTAGTGACTAATGCTTGGTTTCTTATGGGAAGTTAGGAAAAAAATCCAACTAACACTTTTATGAGTAAGAGAGCATTTCTAAAAAAAGTTGTTTTCTTGCATAATTTGAACTGATAAATATATGTAAAACACTAGGTTTTTAAAGCTAAGTTTAATTAAATGTCTCGTTTCTGCCCAGTGCAAATAAACTTTTCGGGGGAAATGAAAAGTTGAAAGCAATTAAAATGAGGTGCTATGTGTATACAGTACTTAATCATTCTTACTGTGAGAACCTTGTTTTTACAAGTTGGCGGTATTACAGATATGTTGCCAATTTCTGCTTTTACTCAAAAGTTCAAGGCCAGGGGGACTGTTAGATCATGTAGTATGACCTCTCCTAAATCACAAGCCACTGAACTGTATCTATTTATGTTACCGAGTCCAGTAATTTGTCTTTGACTCAAGAACAATTTTTCTGGCTAACCTATGCTTTGCAGAAAGGCACTTGCTCATCATTTAAAGGCATCAGAAATTCTGCTCTTAATTACTTCTTCCCATGGCTAAATACCTTACGGTTCAAAAGTAAATGGCACACTTAAATTTTAGTATCTGATTTATAGTGAGTTTTTGGCTTCAGTTTACATCTAATTCAGTTTCCAGGTGATTTTCCTTAAAAAATGAAAAAGGCCTTTTAATGTCCAATCTATTTAAATATTTAGAGATACAGAATTAGTACTGAATGCAGTCCTGGGCTGCATTAAAAACAGCATGGCCAGCAGGTCAAGGAAGGTGATTCTGCCCCTCTGCTCTGCTCTGGTGAGACCCCCCTGCAGTGCTGCATCCAGCTCTGGAGCCCTCAGCACAGAAGAGACATGGACCTGTTGGAGCGGGGCCAGAGGAGGCCACAGCAATGCTCAGAGGGATGGAACAGCTCTGCTGGGAGGACAGGCTGAGAGAGTTGGGGTTGTTCAGCCTGGAGAAGAGAAGGCTCCAGGGAGACCTTACTGCAGCCTGCCAGGGCTTAAAGGGGGTCTATAGGAAAGACGGGGACAGACTTTTTAGCAGAGCCTGTTGCAATAGGACAAGGGGTAATGGTTTTAAACTGAAAGGGTAGATTTAGACTAGATCTAAGGAAGAAATGTTTCACAGTGAGGGTGGTGAAACCCTGGCCCAGGTTGCCCAGAGAGGTGGTAGATGCCCCATCCCTGGAAACATTCCAGGACAGGTTGGATGGGGCTCTGAGCCACCTGCTGTAGTTGAAGCTGTCCCTGCTCATGGCAGGGTTCTTGGACGAGATGGCCTTGAAAGGTCCCTTCCAACCCAAACTGTTCTGTGGTTCTGTGATTGTGATATATGGAAGTCGTCTCCTGCTTCACCTCACTGACATCCTGTTGAGATGTCTGAGGATTACAGTTATCCCATTGACCACAGCTTTGTATTGTGATGTCTCATTGCATTGCTTATCCAACATGACCTTAAAACCTTTTTCACAGACACTTCTTTGACCTGTATTTTCTCACTGAAGAATTATGACTTGCCATTCTTGTTTCTAGGCATGTAACCCATAATTTGTGTGTACAAAAATACCACTTCTTGAGTGAATTGCCTTACGTGGCTTGTCTGCGTTTGTTAAGAGTCACATTATCAATCTTTATTATCCCTAAATTTTATAATCATTAACTTTCACTCTTCAATTAATTAGGAAGCTATTAAATGTGAACAGAGCTAAAAATTGCTTATTGCCATGTGTTAACTGGCCGTTAATACAGGAAGGGTGATGATTAGAAACAACAGAGGAGTAAGATGACATTTTTTGACTGTATTGAAGATATGGAGTTGATTACCAATGTGATTCTTTCCAGGTTCATTTTCCTAATGCCTAGAAAATAGCAATAGAAGCTCTTTTGTTTGATTCAGGATTGTTGACTCCTTTTTTGGGGATGTTTCAGGCAGTTTTTATCCATTTAGATTAAAGTTAATGATTTCCTTAATAATATCCATTGTTTGCAAAGAATATAGGTTGAATAAGAGCTTGCATGACTGTTTAGTGAGAAATGCAACATTGCAATAAATGTTCTCCACTGCTTAAGCATTGTTATATACAAATTACTTCTTGGTGGCTATTTAGCAATACATTTTCAAAATTGGACGAAAAAATCTGCACTTCCTTGATGTTGCAAGTCAAGGCTTATGGATATTAGTTATGGCTTTATTTACCAGTAGCAGTGAGTTGTTAAACCAGGAATTTGTAGATTATACCTGTTCCTTTGAGTACCTGTCAATCTTGTGGCTGGAGACAAACTGCATGTCTATAAAATTGAGGCAGTTAACCAGATGAACAACAGATGAAAGTTTGGCTATATTCTATATCCTGTCTATTTTTTATGCCAGTCTGCATGCTCATCTAATGCTGTATTTCAAACCTAAATAATTGGTTTCTTCTTAGCTGCTACATCACGTGTTTCATTCCAACCTACTACCATCCGTGTGTCCTTTCCTTCCATGTTTCTGTGCCTTTATTTGCTAGATTCAGATGCTGAAAAACTGTAATTTTAACTCCTTCGTTGCTGTCAATACTGGGACATCTAACTTAGCACTTTTAGATTCTGCCCTTCCTGTCTGTCTCCCTTGTTCCCTCCATCCCACAGCAAAAACTTCTAACTGTTTCAGTGGAAGGGCTTAAATTAGTAGAGTATTTGATGTTACTGAATTTGTATGTGTGTTGATGACACGCAGTTTATCTGTTCTTGTTTCAGGTACAAAGGTAAAGTCAGCAAGAACACAGACCTGTTCTCACACACAGAAGGTGGTCACCAGCCCTAGAAAACAGCATCCTTTATATGTAGTTTCCCAAGAAAATCAGTATCTTTTTAGTCCAAGTCAAGATGTGCCTGCTGTCTGTGGTCCACTTGAAGGTCACCTAATTCCTATGGCTATTCCACTAGGTAGGAGCAAATAACCTGTAGAAGGATGTGTGAAGATTAATTACTGCTACTTCATGGAAATACAGCTTACATCTTCTGAAGTCAGTGATTTGTCCCAGCCCATGTGATTTGCAGCTGCCCTTCTTGTGGGAAATATACATGGGAGAACAGTTTAAAAAGTTCTGGTTCTCCTCATTCCTCATGCTGGATGTCTGGCGACACCCTGACAGAGCAATTATTTGCTTAACTGTACATACCTTCTTTGGTACACTTTGTACTTCTAGGGTTCTTGTCCTGGCTTTAAGTTTGGTATCCAGGTAAGCAGGAACTGAATCATTGGCCCTTGGATTCAACATTTACGATTACTTCAGCCCAGTGATTTCAGTAGGATTGTGCCAAACACGCTAAATTCATTGTCATGGCTTCTGTATTTTTGGGCCTTCAGTAGAACCTTTGTATAGGCCTTGTTTCAGGAAGGTTTAGTATTATATTGGCATTTAAAGAAGATAATTATTAAAAACAAAAGGTGTCTCAGACAAAGATTTCTGGGATGCTATAGTAAGTGTAATAGTATTTTGAGTATGATTAAGAAAATGTGAGGTGGGGGAAGCATGTTATGTAATTTTTGAATGGCAAACACAATGTAGTTATTCTCGCTATCAGCAGTAGGTGTCACCATAATCAAGAAAAGTGAATAACTTAAAAAAAAATGGTAGTGTTGCGTTTACAGCTTCTGCTGGGAAAGCCTTAAAATTACCTGGTGAAGCACTATATTTTAGCTAGTGTTAATAGGGGACTTTTTAATTGGTCTGTAATTGCACGTGAGATCTCAGTCTGTCTCATGTGAAACACAGACACCCAGACTTTAATTAATCAATTTACCAATTTTGGAGTTTTATATATGTCTTTAATTATTTTTTAACTGTCCTTAGGTCAAACCCAGATTAGTGACATCTCACTGCAGCCTGCTGGAGTAGTTATAGGTAAACCACACCCTGTTACAGTTACAACCTCTCTTCCTCAAGTGCTACCAAAACCACCGGTTGAGGTTAAAAAACCCAACATAGCTGTAATAGAGATGAGATCAGAGAAGAAGGATCCACCTCAACTGTCTGTGCAGGTACATGTCAAGAGTGATCGTTATTTGTTTGTTTATTTGAATAAATGCTAACTAAAGACAGTCTCATCCATCAGTAACTTACTTTGACATCAGAAGATGGTTTTCAGTAAGCATTAGAAACATATAGAATCAAGGGACCAAGAAGTTGTCATGCTATGCTTGTATTTTTATTAATATTTTAACAATGATCTTTATTATTTGAACAAAATAGAAAACCATTACTTCCATAAGTCACCTATGCAGGGTGTTTGTAAAATAGTTCTATGTCACATTTTCTTTTTTTTTTTTAAATGAGATTTTTTGAGCCAGAACAAACTTGGAATTAAAAAAGTATTAATATAAATGCCAATTTTCTTGGATGACTGCTTTGGCCTTCAAGATTTCTGTTTCAAGCATGAGGGTCAACCCAAGTATTTCACTCCTGATTAATCAACCATTGCAGTCCTTACCTAGTGGGTTGGTTTGGGTTTTTTTAATTTTTTACGTGAGTCTGTTGTCAAGGAAGTTAATGTTTCTTACATGTTCATTATTTTGGATTCAAATTGTTGAGAATATAAACACTCCTACACACACCTTCCAGATACAAATGATTCATGGAACTCAAAGTTAAATACAGGTAGAGTAGTATGTGGTTTGTTGCCTTGCTGTATCACTGAATTCCACCCACATGCATTTTACTGTTATTTCCCCCAGTTCTTAAATGCTTAAGGTGATTTCTCCACCCGCTCCCAAAGAATTAAGAAAACATTTAAATCTTCATTCTTAGAAAAAACGCAACATGTTTTGATGCTGTAATGGACATGCCTTTATTGCAAACTATATTGTAATACAATTATCCCTTTATTTTACTATACCAGATGTATGACAATGTGAAGCCAATAACCAGCTTACACAGTGGCTTGCAGGCCAACATAGTGTAAATGAATTGCAAGTCATCTGCTATATGAATAGTTGTAGGTATACTTACCTCCTGTCACATGCAAAGCAAAGGATCAGGGAATTAAAGAACAGGAGAAATCGGGTACTGCAAGAAAAGAGGTGAATATTTCTGAGGTTAGTTTTTGTACATTACAGTATTTTGGTTTTCAGAACAAATTTATTACCAGATACAGGTATGAGAAAAGGAGGTCACTGAGGTTTAGTGGCTCAGTAGCAAGCAGAAGAGAGAATCTAAAAAGTTCAACAATAGTAGCCAAGCTAACGCATAGATTTTCAGATTGGTGCTTTTTTTCTGCCTTAGGTGTTACCAAATGTAGATATTGACAGTATTTCAAGTGACAGCGTGAGTGTAAATCGCGTTCTTCCAGGCTCCGAACCTGAACTTCCTCCTGTCGATGCTGTAATACAGGTATTGATTGGTCTAAATCTCTGTGAATTCAAATTTGTTAAAAAAGAAAATATGTTAAATTACTACAAAGTTATCTCATTATCCTGTTTTAGTTAGAGAAATTAGATAGTTCCAGGAAAACTGGAGTAATTATTCTGAAGAATTTATAGTACGGGGTGTTTGTTTAAGAAAATGAAAAATTGCAGCAAGACGCTGTTCTTCCAAGACTAAATAATCACCACAGCGAAACTCTAAGAAAAATAGTGTTTTTCTGTCCTGTTAAGAGTTGTAATCCCTTATTGGCCCATGTCTGTGTCATTTATACTGGCTTCAGTGTTCTGGCATGAAGACTGAGGATGTTCTTCATTCCTCTGTCTGCTCCTTGGCTGTTCTTGAGTGGTTAGTTGCATGTATGTGTAGCCTGTTCACTGGTAGCCTGTTGTGTGTGGAGCTAGCTGGTCTACTCTGTTCTCTTTTCACAACTTTTCGGAAGTGTTTTTAATTGAATCTAAGCAGTAATGAAGGTTTTTGTGCAACTAAAAGGTGAACTGCTGCATGCTGAATGGTAAGGTTGTAAACTAGGGCACATGTTTACAAGATGGCATGTTGTTTCTTCCAGTGGACTTCTGTCTTGTGCATTGCACAGACTGGACAGTGTGAAGGTACAGTGATGCAGTGATTATTTTTGTATAGTTATTGTACCTTCTATTTTCCCTGTGTGTTCACTGCTATTCTGACTTCAGGAGTTAGGTCCTTCAGAGTTCTGTGGTCAAGGTGGTCACTGAATAAAATGGAGACCATAGACTAAAATAGTGATTATTAATTAAAAATTATATTGTTCAATAACATGGTAGAAATCACACATAAGTGAATTGCTTAAGACAATTCTAGACTCTTCTGTGCTATGTTCTACAACATTTTGTCTTGCTGTTTTTTTGGTTTTTTTTAATAAGAGTTACAGGTTACCCTAGAACTTTTGATGTTGAGATATTCCATTAGATTTGGTAACAGCAGGTTTTGGTTGTCAGCATGCAAGAAGAAGTTCTTGTAATCTCTCTTTATGTTATGCAAGGAGCTTTTAAGGTGGGTAAAGCAGTTTTTCTGGATTCAGGCTATTGACAGTGAGTGGTGATTTATTGCATTCTTGTTACGAAGTTTTTCTGCTAATGCATTTTTCCCCCAATATGATACCTAACAATTTCAATCTGTATTTATAAGACACCAGAAGATGTACATAGTGAGGAGGAAGACACAAAGTTTCCAGGAACTAATTTCATTAATGTTACTGATGTCATGCAGGTAATTATATTGCAAAGGTATCTTTTCATTTTAAATGTTTTTATATTTTTTTTAATATTACTCTGTCATAACTGAAAACACAATGTAGGAAATCAATTTTCTTTACTAGCAATTTTAAAAATACACATTGTGAGCAATACTGAACTGTTTACAGTGCTATAAACAATATTAGAAATTACTGTGTGTTAATAAATAATGGACCTTTGAAGAATTACAATAAAAAAATAAAATTAGCTTTTTTTTGGATGTGTTAGAATCCACTAGAAAGCAAAGTAGTCCTCTAAAATCAGCAGTGATTATAGCACTTAAATTTCACAATTTCAAACTCTAAATGTAATGCATATATAAGATGCTCTTACAGATTTTAAGTAAGGTGACCTATATTTTAAAATGTGAAAGTATTTTCTGAGAGTTCCCTTTTGGAAAATTTTGGTATAGAGCAATTGGCATACGCTTTTGAGGTTCCTAGAATGCTTTAGCATGATACCTCATTTCAGTCAAACATTATGTAACTTTAAAAAAAAAGACAAGCAGTGTATGTGAGTATATGCCTACAACATATACTACTCATCTCATGGATCCCATTAAGAGTTTACAAGATTTTTGTTTTGCTGGATGCCCTGTAGTGTATCTGTGCATGTTTTACAATGTTGGTTGTTTCTGGATTATGATAATGTGGGTTTATTTGAGATGCTCTTTTACAATTTAATTTTTTTAGGTAGCGAGTTTGGGGTTTTTTTTCAGTTAGCTGACTGCTTGTCAGTTAGAGCAGGGGCTGCCAACCTGTCAAGGTTGGTGAACCAGCCTGTATTTCACTTCTCCAGATTAAGAGCAGAAGCAGAAACCCAATGGTAGCTGGGAGAGGCTGCCTCTGAAGGAAGCAAGAAGTTTCCACCCAGCTGTCGTGGAGTATCTTGCCTCTGTGGAAGATGGCAGCTTCCACCTCCCGCTGCATTTAGGCCTCAGTAAATACCAGGAGCTTGCAATTGCTGTTGCTGGCTAGTGTTTCTCTTGAAGTGCCTTTTCCTCAAGGTTCTTTCCACTGAGCTAGACTTGCTATGTACATATCAAAATATACCCAAAAAATGTTATTCTTTCTACCTGTTTGGTGTGCTCCTGATCCCAGGATTAGAGTGTACATCAAATATTAACTCTGTAGGCTACAGGTCAGTATGGTAGATTTATTTTTAAAATTAATTCATCATTTAACACTATCAGTTAGTTAAAATAGTCCTAAAGGAGTAGTTTACCTATCAAAAGTGGGGAAATGCTTTATTCATTTTTAGTTTCAAAATTACCTTATGTTATTGGAGAGGAAGAGTTAAATCTATTTGGACGACTTTCTTCTGTTTGCACAAAAAAGCTTTATTTTACAAAAATAAATAGGAAAGCTATTTAAGAAATCAGTTTATGAACTAACAGAAAAATGCTGCAATGTTAAATTTTTTATGTGTGGATAATAGCTATTAATCTTTTTTCATTTTTCTCCTGGATTGCTTTTATCTTTTATTTTTGGCAATGGGATATACTTTAACCACAATACGAAAAAAGTTCCAAGTGAAACATATGCTTGGCCTATGACCACACAGACAATATTCTTAAAAATGTGCAAGACAAACACAATGTGGAAGCATAAAATCAACTTCTGCAGTGGCAGGGGTATTTAAGACATCAAAAGAAAGCAAAGTTATTGTTATAAAAGAGGCTTCAGATTCATGAAAAAATGTGCATAAAATGCTATACAGGAAAATAGCTTATTGTTGTCTTCCCCCCTGCCCTATCCCTTTTACTATGAAGACTTATTCTGTTGGAAGTGAAGAGGGATAAGTATTTGTATGAAATATTCTCTCTCTTTTTTTTTTTTTTTTAATTTTTTTTTCTTCCCTGGTGGATATTGCAGAAAGGCTTCAGGACCCTGGCCCAAGCATTTCCTTTTCCTAGGACATGTTTTACCTTCCTACTAAAAGATGCAAATTTAAGAGATACTTAGGAGTTGGAATGCTAGTTGTTAGCACTGGTAGCCCGATAAAGGCACGACTGCTGCAGCTGCCTGTTCCCAGGTCCAGGCAGTAGCGAGGCTGAGCATCTATTTCCAATCGGCACGCATGGAAACACACCTATGCCATACATCTATACATACATGTACACGAGTGGGTGCACAGATCAGCACTCAAACAGCACCAGTGTGCTCATCCTGCTCCCTTCTCTGGCAGTTCAGGATGGAGTTCTGGCATATGCATGTGCTTGTGTGTGTGTACATATATGTGTGTGTGTATACATGTATATATACATGGGCAGTGTGGATCCCTCCGCTTTCTGGTGTTAGACAGTTTACCCAGTAGCTGGCCCTGTGTCCTTGCCCTCCCCAGTTCTGGCACCTGGACACGCAATCCCCTGAAAGCCTCTTGCTCAGGAAAATAGTTGGAAATGACATTTAGTGAGGAGACAGGACAGGCTGTACTGATCAGGCGTAGGGCAAACATACTGCCCGGCCACTCGTCTACATGCAGCCAGCCCCTTTTGTCCCCTTAGCCCTCCATTTTCTCACACCTGGATCTCTCCAAACCACCTTTATCCTTCCCTTACCACACTTCTGGTTCCTCCCCGTAAACACCGCATAAAAAGTGTTCCACCATCCTAAAATACTCTTCCCTGCATTCCATAATAAGTCACCGCGTTATCACCTCATCCAAATGCACTTGCCCAACCTTAAGAAATGGGCTATGAAAAGTCTTTCCGTGGGCTCATCTTGCTGGGTTTCACTCCTGGACACTGGGGCTGAGCCCTCGCCTGTGATAGCCCTGGGAGTAGCGGGGTTGGGGTGCTCGGTTGTCATGTTAGGTTATCTGGGTTCTTCCACGTGTTGTCACTCCTCAGTGTGAGTGGAGACAAACCTTTTATTACATCACCTAAAACTGTTAAAACAAATTACTTTTGTGGACTAATGCAGCGCGTCCCAACTTGTAAAATGCATGTCCTGCCATAGGAAGATGTGATGTGCCTTGTTCCCCCATTGCAACCTTGGGGTCTAATGTTTAAAGATCCAGAGCTCCATCTTCCAAAACAGTTGAATTAGGTGGTCTTATTTCACAATTCGAAAAATCACATGTGGAATAAAGCAGAAAAGGCCGTTACAGCTTTGATTTACACACTTCTTTATTTTTGATCAATGGTTGCACCTACAACAAAGTAGGTTCAGACTTCCTGAACAGAAGAGGTTTCGCAAGGCCAGCCCTTGCATGGACCCTGCCTTATTCCAGAGCAAGAAGCTTGCTCAGCTAACATGAGCCCAGAATGGACTCTCATATTTATTGATTCTGCTCTCTAACTCTTATGAGCAGACACATCCTGCAATATCTTTAACAAACTTGTTAGGATTTAATATTAGAGAAACTTTCTGCTCTCTTTGAACATGTCCTAATTGCAAGGTGGGGACTTGTTTCTCTGAATTTTTGTTTCCGATTTGAATACCACCACAAAATATAGAACCTGCAGAGATCAAAGTAAACTTATTTTCCTCAACCCTGGTTTCCTGTAGATGCTCTTTGGAGCAGTGATTTTTTTACGCATATAAGTCTTCAGACAAAAAATTACAGGTGGCATCTGCAATGCACACTGACCCTGGTTGTGAAAATTGCTTTAGAAACCTGTCCAAAAGAAATCCACAACTAAGTTTTGGATGGCTTTAATAAAAGACTACGCATATACATGTTACGTAATGGCACAAAATTAATCTTTACCACCTAATCATTTCAAACATTGATTTGGTTATCTGAATGTAATTTGAGAAATAGAATTTCAGCTTGATACTTTATTATAAAGTACAGTGATTAATATTCCAACCATATCTGAAATACTTTCTAATTTATGCCATATTTTGATTGGGACTCATGATAGAGATTTTCAACAGTCTCCAGGGAGGTGAAATGCAGAATTGAGTGCACATTATTCAGGATTGGTCTACAAGGTGATATATGTGCAAGTTCAATCTGTATAATTAAATACTGATTATTATATTTTTTTTTATTTCAGCAGAGATAATATATCACCCCAAAATGAAAAAAAATTTCCTTTGGATTTGTGCACTATTAAATATACAATATTGTTGTACATAGTTTAGAAATGCAGGAGAACTGCAAAAGTTTGTCAGAAGTTACTAAATATATATATAAGATTTATTGTACGTACTTGGTTTATTTAATCCAGATGTTTGTATTTTGCATACTTTCAGAAAAGATTATATTAAATAGGCAACATCAAAGAAAATTTATGGAGTAATGCAGTCAGAAGAAAATTCATAATGAAACACTGGACAAAGACATCTTTACATTTGCTGTCAGAATGAATTATGGTTATGAATACATATATCCTAACAGAATGAACTGCTTATCAGCTTGCAAGGCATCCAGTGCCACTCTGAGTTTAACTTTACTGTCTTATCTCTATGCTTAGAATAGTTTAGAGATCTTTGTTTGTCACCCAAATATATTCTGTTCTGCCTGCTTTGTAAGTTACAGCTTTTCTTTGAAAAATTACTACTATTTAAAGATCCAGAAAGATCCCGCTCCCCAGTAGGTATCTGTTGTAATACCCATCATGGACCTATCTGACTTTTCAGTTTTAAAGTACATTAAGGTAGGAGAGAAATATTAATGCTGGGTTGGGGAAGGAGACAGGAAAATGTTATCTTCTTTTTTCTTTTCTGTTCTTTCTGGTTTTAGTGATTTGTTCTTTTATTCATAGCAAATATATAGTAATTTTTTTAATTTTATGAGTTAAAAGTAAATTTAATTTATATAAGGAAAAAGAAGATTCCCCCCCTTCACTGTGTCAGAGATTAATCTTAGTAAATGTAGATTTACAGTGAGCTCTCTTACGCGACATCACATGCTTCTCACTGGTAATTTAGGGCTCAGCTCTTCATCTCTGGCATGCCAAATTTTCTTCTTGGAGAATCATATTACTATTAGAGACATTTGTTTTTAATATTATGAGGCAGGATGCAGGTTCTCATCCATCAGGAGACATTTCTAAAGTGTTACATTACAATATGATGGGTTAGTGACTGATTTTTGGGACTCAGTGCTGTGTATGAGCTCGGGGGGAAGAGGAGGGTGGCATCTTTGGAAACAGTCAAACATTATAATGTGCATTGAGTAACTTTCATAACTTTTAGAAATAGCACATTAAGATTAAATTCAGAGTGTCTCTGAAGATCTTTTGAATTGATTACCCAGAAATACCTTTTAACTTTCAGCAGCTGAAGTTGGTGAAAATGTAAACATACATGTAACATATGTGTAAACTATTAATGCCTAGTCTTCAGTGCTGGCAACTTTATTAAAATTTGACTGACTGCATGCTCGTTAACTTTTGGGACTGTCTCTTTTCAGAGAGGAGACTTTAGACTAAAGGTTTAATTTCTAAAAAAACCAACAAGCAAAACCCAAACAAAAAACCTAACCCTAACAGTAGAAAGTTTCCTAACCTTTTTGTTTAAAGGAGAAACATTTCTGGAGTATATTTAAGAAAAAAATGACTTATGTCACAAGTAAATTTCTAAAGTATTAGCATTACCATTGGCTCCCTGCCTTGTGCAGCACAGGCAGGAAATATGAGCCAAATCATGTTTTCCTTAGCAGTTCCTATAGCCTTATACCTTTACAGATTTATGATTTGCTAAGTTTAGAATCGTGTCAATTAATTACAACATACTAAGAAGGGAGAATGTGGTTTGTGTGCTGTGACACATCTACAAATGTTTCTCAAAGAAAAAAATCTGACTGTTACCTCAATGATACTGCCTTCCAGAAACACACCATAACTTAATTTACTATTTATTTATTAGGATCAGGAAGAGGAGAGGGATGAAATTCCAGAATTCTTTGAGCCTCTTGTGGAGCTTAATGGACAGTTTAAAGTTGCCTCGCCAAAATACAATGGTCCTTTATTTCCTCCAGTGGCTTCTGCTCTGCAGCAGACTTCTGATGTTTTGGATGAACTGATTCAAAGGAGAGAAACTGTAGAAAACAGGTTGATAAATTGGTGAGTTGCAATATAACAAAATGGCGAGAGAATATATGTGGAAGAAGGAATGACTCCATAAGAATACCTTCCCATTCTTCTCCTCCCCTCCCTTCCCTTCTACTCTTTCCTTTGAGCTACCTTTCATTTTATGGCAAGAATGCTCTTTTGTATGCTTTTAGGTGTCTTGGTGTTTGCTGATAGTTAAATGGGTTTTATTCTGCTAGGGTGGAACAAGAAATAATGGCAAAAATTATCAGTGGGATGCACCCAGTTCAGAAAGAAATAGTGCCCGGTGTTAGCACCTCAGAGAGTGAAGACACTGAGACTGTAGCCTCTGACATTGGTAAGTAGGAGTTATTGTTCTCAGCAGATGGATTATCTCAATTTTTGGCTAATTTTAACAAGCTGTGTAGGTAGTTTTTGCCTGAGCCTGAGTGGATAATGCTGAACCAGTGAAACTATAAAATGCAAAAGTGCATGCTTTAATTTATGTTGAGACAGAGCAAGCATTATAAGGCCATTGAAATAAATTATCCAAAAAAAAAAAAAAAAGAAAAAACACATAAACCACAGCACTGTACAAATCAACTTCTGTTATTTGCCATCTAAATCAGATTTGGCATTTTGCCAAGCCTGGAATGTTTGTTTGCCTTTCTTTTGTTAATAGATATGTCAAAAATTACTTCCCTTATGAATGTGTGAGAATGGGAGACAAATGCATTTCTATTGTGATGCTACCGCCCTTTGCTGCTTCTTTCTTCTGTGATCATGAACTGCTTCTCTACTGTTGTTTCTTTATCTGTAAAATAAAAAAAATCACTTTTTGCAAAGGAATGTTTAAAAGTTCACGGAGAATAAAATGAGTGGCTGCAGTACAGTACATGCAGAAGTGACACCTGGATGTATGCTTTATATTTCTTCATTTTCAGTTGAAGTTGCAGGTGGTGGAGGATTTCAACTCTTTATCAATGCTGGTGTGCCCGTGGACTCAGAAATGATAGGCCATTTCATAAATGAAGCTCTCAGTGAGACAATTGCAACCATGCTGGGTAACAAGCAGTCTCAGAAGGCAGTTCCTGCTACAGACATTCTTCCAAGTACAACGAAGATGATGGTAAGAGTCTGTTTTATTTAAGCTTTTCTGCTGAAGTTCTAAGGGATCATTTCTTTGTGGCATGATGGTTCAACTATGTGCAAGACAAAGATGACCAAAAAAGACTGATGAACTGAATGTACATGATTTGCATCTTTTGATGTTTTCTGATTATACCCCAGCAAGCAACAAGATTAAACCCTTTTCAGTTTGAAAAAAAAAATTGAAAAGAAAAAAAAAAATTAATTCCCTTGTGCTGCTATATTTATTTATTTACTTTAAGGCGGAGCAAAAAACTGGTTTCTAAGGGGAAGACTTGGTATTTAATTTCATGTTGTCAAAAGAGAGCTCATGTTATTTTCAACAAAAATAGCTGTGCTACTTTCTTGCAAAGAAGTGAAATATGAATAAACTAGTTTCTTCATATAAGAAGAAATAGAAGCTAAGGGCAATGTTATTTTTGGTCTTATGAGCTTGCAGCCATTCTTTCATATCTGTAAAAATGAGTATTACTTCTGTCTAAGTTTTGAGTTCAGTAGTTTTCAGTAAATGCTTAAATGATTAGTAGAGCTTCCTGTAATACCGGATAATTTTCTCTATTCCCTTTGATAATCAAATGACAGCTGGCTCTTATTTTGATAACAACATGGCTGTGCTACAATCTGGTGTTGTATAATGTCTTTGGGATGAATGTGGAAATTGCTGCGCTTAGAAATCTTAACTATTCAAAGCTTTGTTGAAAGTGAGATCAATTATTCTATTCTGCTACAGTGCATATAGACTGAAATACCGCCTAGTATCTGCTGTAAGTGACCAACAGATTATTCTGTAGTTAAAAGTAATCATTTCACTGCTGTGGGCTTAAATACAGCCATCCTGCGTCTAAAGAGCTCTTCCCCACTCCATTACAGATTAAGGAGGATATGATGTTAAAGACTGTTCTTTGTAGCTTGTTCTTCTGATACTTAGAAACCCCTACTTAGAACCATTCTACATTTACTGATGGCCTCTTAAGCCTTATTGTTTCTGTACCAGCTTAGACTGAAATGTCCTTAGGCTGACATGGTTGTTTTCTCCTTACTATATATATTCATTTGCGCGCTTCAAGAGATTAGTTTTGTCCTTTTTGGCCTCTGTTTGATTAGGCCAAATAAAGACATTGTCCACACATGTACCATTTTTCAACTCTTGCTGATGGGCAACACTTTTATGTTTTACAATTTAGATTGGTCTTGAACACGGGTAACACTGATATGCTAATAGACAATTTTAATAATGATGTAGTATGCGAAATGGGGTTTCCTCGGTGCCTTGTACTATAGTAGTGATACTCTCCCACCTTTATTGGAATCTCAGTTAGCTAGTTAATGTTTTTTTTAAAGTCTTTCCACATTTGTGTCTAATAGTTATCCTTGTACATATATCCTTGTATAATTTGTACATTCATAAGGTTGGTTTTTTCTTCTCCTTTTTCCATTTCTGCTCAACTTATAGCAGAAATTCTTCAATATGTAGTTTATGCATTCTTGATCTACCCCTTCTTACTGTGAAGTTTCCTGTCTAGAATGTCATCTGCCTAGTTTCCGAGTTCTTTGGTGTTCACAATGTCATACTGTTGTGTGTGAACTGCCAAATGTGTTACCATGTTCCACTGACCATAAGAGTCTTTAATAAAAATCATCAGTCTGAGGATTTATTCTTCAGAAACTAGCCTGGAAGCCTTCCTTTAGCCCCATTATCTTGTTTCCTTTATGAAATGTCAGAGAACAGGGCTGGAAAAAAAACCTGGAAAGGTCCATCATATTCCTCCATAGCAGGCTAAATGACAACCATCATACTTGCTTGTCACATTTATCTCCATTGCTGTCATTTTTTAAGGAATATCACAACTACATTTGTGTTTTGTTTAGAATTTTCTCTTTAGCTGATTCTCTTACTGTAAAATTACCGTACTAACTCAACGTTATCCATGTCACAAAATATTTTCTTGCTTAACATTGTATCAAATGCTTTATCAAAATTCGTATAATCATATAAGTCATATTTAAACTGGACATTAGGAAGCATTTCTTTACCAAGAGAGTGGCCAAACACTGGACCAGGCTTCCTAGAGAGGTGGTCGATGTCCCAAGCCTGTCAGTGTTTGAGGCATTAGGACAATGACCTTAACAACATGCTTTAACTTTTTGTCAGGCAGTTGGACTAGATGATTGTTGTAGGGCCCTTCCAACTGAAATAGTCCTATTCTATACATAATTATTTCCAAATGTAATAATTGTAATGCATAATTTGCTGGTTTTTAATTTATTTTGCCCAGGCATACCATTTAACCTTGTGTAACGTTATGTTTAGATGGAGGAGTTAGATCCATAAAGCATGTATCTAGGAAACGACTATTCCTGTGCTGTGATAACCTGCCTTTCTCTCTCTCTTCCTCAGCTCTCTCTGGGGATACTTGGAAGATAGGAATTTTGCATTGAGATAATAACTGTGGTTATGATTTTTTTCCTCTCAGGAGTCTCTTGTGCCTACTCCATTGCCAACACCCCAGGCCACACCACCACAAACACCACCTTCAGAAAAAGAATTGCCTCCAGTCAAAACTCCAGAGTCTTCTCTATCTCTTACAGAAATGAGTGGGAATGTTCATGAACATGAGAAAATTAAAGAAACAGGTAGTGAAAATAATAATTGAAGTTTAGTAAGTAGCAAATATGCTTTAATCTACTGCCTTTAATTTTCTTCTTCAAAGACACATTATCTCTCAGGATAAATATTCTTGAGGCTATAATTCAAGTGGGAACTCATGTAGTACAAAAATTATGGGCTAATTTGTATAAAAAGCAAACATCTTTTATTTGGTTTAGAACAGCTCTATTTTCAAACCTAGTGCACATTTCTGTGGTCTGTGTGATTTCTACCCTTCCCAGCCCCTCCACACTTTTTCACATCAGAAAAAATACTTGTCTTTTGCTCCTTCCTGTGATTCTAATGTTAATTAAGCCAAATTTTCACTCTCCAAGTAAAGCATTTTAGTTTTTAAAATGCAGAGCAGTCTCCCTTATTAAAGGAAGTAAGCAATTGAGGTTTTATTCTTCAGATGCCAATACTGTACTTAAAAGAAACTAGTCTTAATCTAGTCTTGTCTCCATAACTTATCAAAAGGTATCACAAAAACTACAAGTGCTTAGTAGCACTGACTGACTGTCTGAGATTTACTTCCTGCTTTCCTCTCTGATCTGAAATTTGACTTCACGCATGCAGGAGTTGAGATTCCAGCTGCCACCAGCCGTGTTGGCACACCTGTGGTTACCCCTGTCAATACACCTCCTAGAACAACCACACCAAGCCCTTCTGCCTCAGAATGGGTCTCCGAAGCTGCAAAAATGGAAAGTCCAAAGCCTCCAAACCCATGGGATGATGCAGAACTTCCTCTGGAAGAAGAGAAACCCAGTCCTTTAACTGAAGAACCATTCCATCCCAAGGCTGTGTGAGTTGAACAGGCTGCACGGTTTTCTCATTTCTTAAAAAAAAAAAAAAAGAATATGTATATTCTGTCTAGATACATCCTCAAAAAGTAAGTAGAAAGAAATGCTTGATGTATATGTCAAGAGGCATTGAGATAAGCCAGAATTCTTTTTTTGAGTTCCTTGACATATTTTGGAGAAAAATTTCTAAAGATTTATCAGTCCTTATTCATTGTCTCGCTGAACATTGTACTTAGTAAACTCGTGTAGTTACACCTGTCAGTAATAAATGTAGTGACAATGAAAGATTGTATTTTCAGCATTTTATTTTTTCTATTACCTCAGTGGGAATACATAAGGTAATTTTTAGTTATAACTAGAAATTCATTAATGATGTTATTTAACCGTGTTGATTCTTGGACTATTCTGTAAAATGCTGTGCTCTTTCATTTGAAAAAATAATTGCAAATTAATTTCTTTTTAGTATTGATTTAAGACTTTAGTCTATATTGCTCAATGTGTCTTGTGTATTCATAATGCATATTCTTACATTATAGTGAGATGTCAGTGGCTAATGATGAGGAACCAGAGGCCTTGATTTTACCATCTCAGCAGTCATCAGCAAGGCCCTTCAAACTGCTTCCTTGCGATCCACAGGTTCCATCACCTGTGCCTACAGTTAGTTCTGGGCAGTCCACGCAGGAAAGCAGCCTTACCCTCACAGAAACAGAAAGTGCAGACAGACCAATCTCAGAAGGGGAGGTACTCTTCAGCTATGGTCAGATGCTGGCTCCAAGAGGTAACTAACTAGACAAATTTGTGGAAATTAGAATTTGGATTAATTCTGTTTTTTAATAAACTTCTGTTCCAGTCTACTGAAGTTACATCTCATACATTTTCTGATAAAACTGCAAGGGTTAACCTGGTCCTTAACTTTCAGTTCATGCTTTTAGATTTAAGAGACCTCATTGCTCTTTCTTTTCTCTGAACAAAATACTTCTGCTTACGAATGAAGAAAGATTAAGTCTGCTCTTATGTCACAAGATCAACTTGGAAAATAAATGGGGCTGTCTTGCATAAGTACCATGTGGTACTAAGTACTAAAGTTTTACTGAAAGCAAAGTGTAAGAGTGATTTTTCTGGGAAGCAGAAAATACGTCTTTATAATACACATCCGGCAGTAGGAATTTCCAACTTTAGTAAAGCACTGTGTTGCAGTTATTAAAGAACGTGGCATTGGCTTTCTTTCATATAACTTGCATGGGGTTTTAGTATTTGTAACTTAAAATATTTTTCAGCCTTAGCAGAAGGAGGACTGTCTTTTCCAAACCTCGCTGATAGCTTAACCGGCACTTTACAAGATGCCAATGAAATGGTAAGGAAATGTTTCATAAGGAAACGGAGTTAGTGTTGCATTCTACCTTGAGCATCTGGATAAATTGGATGTGCTTTAAGCATTTTCACTTATAAACTTTTTAAATTTACACTTTTAAACTATACACTTACAAAGAATGCTAGAATTTCAGAGCTCCAAAGAAAAAGAACATATTATACAGATCAATTTATATTAAGAAAAAAATTGAATGATTTATATACTTCTGTACATGAGAGTTAGCTAATATGCATTTTCATTTCTTTATTGTTCTTAGTTTTAAGACATCTTAAACAGAATAGAACACTCTTATTCTCTGAGCTGTTTCAGCTTTGAGCTATCTTTTAATTGTTTGTGTGCTTAAATTACTGAATTAGGTTAGCTAAGACTGTAGTTAGTTAAAGCTGTCTAAAACTTCAGTATAGTTTCTTATCTGACATCTGTTTTAATCCGTTGTCCTGGAAGCCTCCCAAGTCAAGGTATTCTCTATTCACTTTCTTTTGTAACACTTCTTTTCCTCAAATGCCTGGACTCTCTGACTTTGTGTAATGCCTCTTGTAGGACATAGCTGTCGTATAAATGATAGTATCAAGTAGAGTAATACTATGCTTAAAACAAACTTTTCTTTATGAAAGAATAAAAAAAAATTGATAGTGACATTTAATCGTATTGGTTGGAAGGGAACTCCAGAGGAATTTCTAAAAACTTCTTGGACTGCCTCCATAATGCTGTATGGCTCTTCTGGAAGATGTTCAGATAGTTGAAATCTGCCATGAGGATGAAGACCTGAAATCATCAGACCCCTGTTAATGTTTTGTAGAAGGCCTCCTTACTTTCTGTTGGTCAGGTGTTCTGAAGCACAGATCCTGCCCACATCATCCTTCATGTTCCTTTCCCCTCTAATCCTGACTCAGATCATCGATAGGCACATGGAGGTCTATGAATTCAAGGAATGACTTGACCTGGGACTGAAAATTGGCTGAGCTACTGGGCTGAAAGGGTTGTGGCCAGCGGCACAAAATCTTAACTGGAGGCCAATCACTAGTGGTGTATGCCTAGGGTCAACATGTTTCACATGTTCAGTAATGACTTACATGATGGGACAGACTGCATCATCAGGAAGTTTGCAGATGATACAAAACTGGTTGATACACCAGTAGGTTGTGCCACCAGTCAGAGGGACCTCACTGGGCTAGAGAAACGGACTGACAGGAATCTCATGAAGTTCAACAAGGAGAACTGCTGTGTCTTGCACCCAAGGAGGAGCAACTCCATGCACCAGGACATGCTAGGGGCTGACTGGCTGGAAAGCAGCTTTGCAGAGAAGAACCTGGGGATCCTGGTGGACAGTTTGAACATGGGCCAGCAGCGTGCCCTTGTGGCAAAGGACACCACCGACATCCTTTGTTGCCTTGGGAAGAGCATTGCCAGCAGGTCAAAGGAGGTGGTCCTTCCTCATTACTCAGTACTGGTGAGGCAGCGTTTAGAGTATTGTGTCCAGTTATGAGCTCTCCGCTACAAGAAAAATAAGGATTTACTGGAGTGGGTCCAGCAAAGGACTGCAAAAATGATTAAGGGATTGGTTCATCTGTCATATTGAGAGAGCTTGGATTCTTTAGCCTGAAGAAGAGAAAACTCTGGGGGGATCGTACCAATGTATATGAATACCTGCTGGAAAGAAGTAAGGAAGGCAGAGCCAGACTCTTCTGAGTAGCACCCGGTGGAAGACAGGAGGCAGTGGACACAGATTGAAATTCAGGAAATTCCTTTTAAACATAAGAAATGTTTTTACTGCGGGAGTGGCCTAACACTGGGAGATGTGCTGCCTTGAGCAGCTGGGTTGGACTAGACAATCTCCAGAGGTCCCTTCCAACCTCAATAATGCAAAGTTTAAATGTTTAAATCTTCTCCCTACCTATCCTTCCTAAACATTTCTGCCCGTGCATGGCCATACTTCACCTGTGCATACTTTCCCACTGAATAGCCATGATTTCATTCATGTCATAGCTGTGCCCTGAACTTGTAGATCTTTCTGTCTGTTGTCATGTAAGTGTATTGACACCTGAATAGAATGCCCTCCCTCTTGATCAAGACTGTAAAAGTTCCTTTTCTGGGCTTCCCTTTAGATGCCTCCTCTTGTCTGCCACACTTCCCCTCTTAAACTCTGGACTTAAGACTCTATTATCAGGTGAACCTAAATGAAAGTTCTCTTCATTAGTTAGAAAGCTTGCTTGCTAAGATGTTCTTCCCTCTCTTTGTGAGCTGGATCTGGACTCCTTCCAGTAGTCTTGCATACTCAAACTAAACTCTCTGGTTGAGGAAGCTAGAGCCTGGCTGGTGAGAGCAGCTCTGCAGCCAGATCGTTGCTCACACCAGTATGTGTGAGGATTTAACTGTTTCCCTGAACTTTGGAGGCCTAAAGAACCTTGTTCTTTAAATGCTGCAGTCTTACGTATCAAAAAAAGACTGTGCATGTCTGTGGGTAAAAGGAGAAAGTGTGTTGTCAGTTTGCTTATTTTTAATTGCCTAGATTTTCATGACACAAGTTCTCAGTGTGGAAACTGTAGCAACTTACTGTAACAGAGGAAAGTTTAATTGTCAACTAAAGTAAGAATGATTCAGTTTCCTACAAAAAACAGTTTTGGATCATGTACTGTGGATTTTGTTTCTTTATCTTAGGATTATGATCCTCCCAGTGAAGGTCAAGTGGTGAGAAGACTGGATAAAGGCTATCACAGGGATCCTGTCCTGACTCTTTTAGCCAAGTTAAATCAAGCACCTGTTGCTGTGCAAGAAGGAATGTATCATTTGGAGGTAACTTACAGGCCTTTTCCTTCCAATACAGTAGTTTTGAAGTGATAATTTCCTACTCAAAAGTAGATAAAATATTTCAAGCTTATCTTTACTGTTGGCTATAGAACAGGTTCATACATTTCATTCCTTGCTGGAAGTAATCCCACTTCTGTTGGCTGTGCTCTTGTGTAAAACCTTTTAAAAACACGGAAGGTTAAGTGTTGTTATAAAGTTAACTGTACATAGTATCACACATACCTAGTTTTCAAGGTGTGTATGTGACTGTTCCAGTGTACTAGATTTGTCCTGTCACTTTGAATACCAGGGAAGTTTTCTGTCACTTCAGCAATTTAGGTGGTATGTTTAACAGTACAAGTTCTCTGCACTTAGTGGCCATGTGAGTGTTTTAGGGAGGTATGAAGAATAACTCAGCAAATGTTTACATGCAGTTATGCTGTTGATACTGATCTTGGATCAAAACCTCAAAATATTCATAGTCAGTTGGCAGAAAAAACAGACTAACAGAAAAATAGAACTATCTGCATCACAAAGGACAAAAGTAATTTTTTGTCACATGTCTAAGTGTTTTCTATGTGGAAAATAGTAGTTTGGACTGGGCATCTATTCTAACTGACATAGCTGGAGGAATGTTTAAAGGAAGTGAACTCTGAATACTGCAATATGGTTCATGAACACCTTTATTTACAGCAGATCTTCCTTTTTGTGATTTTATCGATGCATATGCAGTTTCTTCCTTCTGTCTTGGTCAGTTTAACCTAAATAATTACTAACTTCACTCACCTCCTTAACTGTTCCTTTGTCTGTCTTTATTTCGCTTAATGAGCTCTGGTGGATGGACTTAGTGAAAAGCTTTCTACAGTGTCAGCTCTGAGTCTGACTGTAATTGTAGTGACATATTCTCTTCAGCGTTGCCAATTACAAATGCATCTCTAATTTGCTTTTTCCCTTTCCCATAGTCACAGACTGCTCAGTCTGTCCATGCAAAACACTAATAAACTCTCCCCCAGATTCTGGCAAGGTGTGTGCAAGCATACCTTCTTTTTTATAAGAAAATGAATATTCTCCTAGATGTTACTAGTATTGCCTTAGAATGATAGTGTGCACATGTGTGTATGTGTATTCAACTTGTTTTCTTGCATAGAGGCAAGCTGTTTTCTCTTTGCAGCTTTGCAAGTCAGAATCCAGAGAACCATCCCTATTTTAAGTGCCATCCAAACCTACGTTTGAACTCTTTATCTGACATGCTATACAATAGAGAGTCAATAGCTTTTAGATGCTTCCAATGTTACAAGGTCAGACAGTCAACATATGTGTAACATTAAAGACTTCGTGTGCTAAAAATATAACTTAGGTTCTGATCATGTTGGGATACCACTAACAACATAAGTGATGTTATTTGGCTATAAGTGATTCTTTTCTGTCCAGTACTGGTAAAGGTAGATCATCAAACTGTGTTTGAAAGTATCTCCTCAGTTTCAGGTTTTTTTAATTCAATGCTAATAGTATAGGCTTAAGTTTATATATGCTTTAAGGGTTAATGTATTTAGAAAACAATGCATGGTTTGAAAGAAATACATTAGCTTTTTTTATACCTGCTGTTCTGATGTTGCTGTTCTATGTAGGATTCTGATGATAGTGTTGGGGAGCTCAGTGAAGGTCAAAGACCAAGGCTGACCAGAGCAGCAGAGAGAATCCTAATGGGACATTCAGTTTGTATGGACCATCCAACTGCTCAGACTTTTGGGAACAGACCACACCAGGGCTTCCGTTCTTCATCACCAGGGCAGCTTGCCCAAATTGCAGGTACAGTTAGACTGTTATTTCTCCTCTGTGGTATTTATGTGGATTCTGAGGGTTTTCTATAACAGTATTTGAAACAGTTTAAGAGAGTATGTTCAAAATCAAAAGATAAAAATTTACAGGCAGTAAATGCAATGAAATTATTAGCATTCTTATTCTGAGAACTGGATTTAATTTAAGCGTTGTCTTCACTCTTCTTTGTTTGTAATATTCTACAATTTGAACAAAAATCATGGCAAGTACCCACTTGCCTATACAGAAGTTGACTTGTAAAGTATGTATTTTATTCTTTTAACTCAAATTCAATTCTCAAAAACACTTAGTTTGACCGTTCTTGAAGTCAGTTTCCATAGGACAAGTATTAACACCGGCAGTTCAAGCTACTTCTTTCTGTCCCCTTACACAGCACTCCTCCTCATTGTTTTTATCACTCCATCAAGTTGATACTGCAGTGTCTCATAATTGGTAATATATTTTAGCTTCATATATTTGCATAAAAATATGGAAATTCTTTTTTTCCCAAATGGGTAGCTGAGGCACACACATAATGGCTTGTGCAAGGTAGTGCATGGGTAAGTTGCCATGCTAAAGCAAGGAAATTAATTTTTTTCTTTTCAGTTGAAACTAGTGCTGTAAGCAATGGTCTATCCTTCCTCTCATTTTTTTTATCCCAATTTCTCTATTGTTATCTGAAAATGTACTTCTATACTTGCTTAATTAAACTGCTGCAAGCATGTAGAAACTCTTTGTTTTGTTGACTGCAGTTTTAAACTAAACTGATGAAACTGAAATAATTATTAAACTGTTGTAACAGAAGTGTGGTTACACTGATTCATCAGAAGTTGTATAAACTAAAGTGATCAAACAGCTGGTTTTCTGTCCTTTTAATTTTCACATTTACAAATTTGACAAGAGAAGCATACGTCACATTATCAACCCTTGACTAGCAAGAAGTGGATTGAAATTGAATGTGTTCAACATGTGGCAAAAAAATCTCAGAGCAATAAGAATATTTCTTAGTTTTCAACTGATTTACTTTTGAACTGGTTACACAGAGAGTAAGCTTTTTAAGCTAGCTGTTACCTAACATCTTGGACCAGCTACATCACTGTCAGCCTTGAAAATACATTCTGGTACATTATATATTATCAAACTTTTACTTGAAAGTAGATTGTTGAATGGTATTTGGAGATTGGTTACATTAGGCTCCCTGGCACAAGACATTTCTCCAAGTCACTTGTTTAACACTGTGTTGTTAGAGGACAGTCAGCATTAAAAAACACTGTGATGTAGAAATAAATTAATGATCTAGATCAATCTGCGGTAAGTCTCTAACAGTGCTCAGGACCATATAGCGAGTTAGAAGATGCGCGTTAATGGGAGAACCTGTCTACTACTGCTACTACTACTATTTACTACCTATAAGGAGGAAAAGGGATATTTCCTTCTTACCCAGACTGTCCATAGTTGTATGTGGCGTAACGTAGATTCATAGAATCTTTGGGTTGGAAGGGACCTTTTAAGGTCATCTAGTCCAACCTCCCTCTATATCTATTTTATTAAATTTCTTTAATTTAATTTAGGATGCCCTTTTGTCTGTCCTGTAAATATCTAACATTTTTCAAAACCAGCTCCTGCATGTGATGATAATCTAGAAGCAGCGTGTTGCTCTAGTAATTTTTTATGCTCATCTCTCTAAGTCTTGTAATATTGTTTCTGTTGTAGTATTTTTTTTGAGAGGAGGCAAGTGCCCTGGACTAACTACCATAGAGAAATGCCCTGTGCTTTTACATAATCTGTATTAAGCCCGGACTGAGTTCTATTGCATTCTGATGATGTTTAATTTAGCTTTCCTCCCTCCCCACCACTGAACACACAGCACAGTATTCACTGATGTTGCTAGGGAAACAACATTGTATAAAAACTAGGATCTGCTTTCAAGAAAAGAGTGTTTTTCATATCAGGGAGTAACAGAAAATCCTGTTTCCAAGTCCTTTTTATAGTGAAGTTAACAGGAAACAATCTGTTCTTGGAGGAAGGTGAGAGGGGGTGAAGGAATGATCTGTGATTGTTTCCACTTTTCTTCCAAATCTTTTTCATCTGTCCATTGGTATGTGAGATTGCATGTCCTTCAGTCTATTGCAAGTCAGGACTAAGAGCTATTTCCTGATAGCCACAACAGCTACAATTCAGGTCCGTCTTTTTAGGGGTAAAATTAAATAATTGTTACACCAATAGGTGTAAAAGTTCACGTATTTCAGAGTGTATATCTCTGTTTATATATCTCACATATAACCTTGCAGTCGATACTCGGTTTCTCTGTCAGAATGAGTCACTCACAGATAGAGCTGTAAGAATTCTGGGGCTTGTGTGTCTATGGGTATCTTTAGTTTTGTGACCAGTTTTTATTAGTGTTATGGAAACATGATGTCTATTTGTAGGATGGAGCAGGTGTTGCTTATGTAGGTATATAACAGCATCTTGATGATCAATTTTTCATGTATAACTCCTTGTTTTCAGAGCTTAAATTCAAGAATATAAAAACTAACATGCAAATGAAGTGTGGCACATGTACTCTTAAAGTGAACAATAATTACCGTTAATTAAGCAATGATTATATTTAATTTGGCTTAAAATTCATTCGTTGGCTCTGTATGATAGCAGAAGGCTAAAGTTAGTTCATGAGCTGTCAATACATTTTTCATAAAGATGCTTTACACACTTGCAGGTGGCAAAAGCATGATAAATGCTGGATTATATAGCATTAAAAAAAGACTTTATACAGGTTTCTTTTCATTCACACAACAGTGAAACATTTTCATGGAGAAGCCTTTCCAGTCTCTTTCCAATATATGTGATAAAGCTCATTAAGCATATAATGATATGATGAACTATACAGCTTTGAAGCTATCGTAAATGCTTGCCATGTTAGATATCTACAGATCATAAAACTGATTTATTTTTTTCAATTTCCACAGGCATGTATTTCTTATTTCTTTTTTCCCTACCAAGAACAATTTAAGGGATACGCAATGAGCCATGTATGGAGGAAATAATTCTCTTTAACATTGCATGTACCGTTGTTTAATCTTGAAAGGCTCCACATCCTGCCATGAGTTGTCCGGGAGATTATTGCTCCAGCTCATCAAGGAATTTTTTTTCCTTTTGTTTTTCCCTCTCAATAGAAATTCTTGGAGATGCAGATACAAGTCGTGGTCCAATGCTTATGTCCGAACTGGAATCGCAACCCGTTTCAAATCCTGTTCTGCAAGCAGCCCAACCAAGCTGCAGAGCAACATCTCTCTCAGAGGATCTGTCCCAGGTAAACTCAAAGGATCTTTTCCATGACTAGTCAGAAAGTCCAAACTGAAACCTAGCAAAATAAATTTTCCTGCTTCACTGTGGTGACTGGCATGATAGAACTGGTGCATCTAAAGGGACGCAGTCAGCTGAGTAACTGAAATTAAAAGTACATGTGTGTAATAAAACTGATTGTGTTTAGTGTGACGGAATCCTTACAAATATGCTTTCTGTTAGGCTCAGACCTCCTCTTTTACCTTTCTGGCACTTTCTTACAGCTTCACTTATCTCACAGCGTCTAATACAAAGTCAGTTCACATGGGGAATTCCAATATTTTAGGGGCACAGTGTTGCACATGCAGAAGAATAACATGATGGATATATGGGAAAGAAAGCAACACTAGAGGGTTGACCTCACAAATTGTAACCCACTGATTCAGCATTTCAGGAGCTTCATTTGCCCTAGTGGGGGCAGGGTTAGAAAGGCGGTAATGATGATGTTACCTCAGAATACTTGAAGGTAGAGGAAGATCCTATTGATCTCTGCTTGAAACCTATAAACTTAATCTGTTGCTACTTTATTAGAATGTGCTGTTACCTAGAGATGATGGTTTACTCACTAACTAAAGATAAATTCAAATAGCGAGTGGCAAAGAATGAGGTGGCAGACTGCTCTGTAATATGTTAAGCTTCACAACGTGTTTGAAAGCATGCATCCATGAAACACACTGTGTTTCATGGATGTGTTTTGTCCTTCCCTGATGTTCTATATTAAAACTAACTTAAAGTATCTTATATTGACCTGTCTTTAGCTTTATGTTTTTGAGCCTTGATGTGTATCGTGCCATTGGTGTCTGAGCAGTTCTTAAATATGTCAACTGAAGGGACGTGTTGCATCTTCAAAGAGAATTTGAAATGTTACACCTCTTTCACTTTGAGATCACCGGAACATATTATTTCATGGAATGATTGTTCACAGGCAAGGCTGGATTCTGTTAAATCTCTGTGTCTGTTGGGGTGAAGCTCATATCCTAGAATCATAGAATAGTTTGGGTTGGAAGGGACCTTTAAAGGCCATTTAGTACACACACACACACACACACACACACACACACACACCCCACCTCCCCACAATGAGCAGGGACATCATCAAATAGATCATGATACCCAGAGCTTCATCCAACCTGACCTTGAATGTTTCCAGGAGTGGGGCATATCCTTGCTACACTTTCACTAGCGAAAATAAAAAGGGACAGAGAGGATAAAATATGTTTTCTTCTTTTAGCACCATTAGCTGTGATAAAGAACACAGTGATACCTGCATCTCATGCTCTGGAGAATTAGCTGGTGAGTTTAGGATTGATTTTTGTTTGCCTGGGTACAGGCAAAAGATAATGTACCATGTGTAAGATTACCCATGTACATAGTCTTACCTATGCAAGAAATGGAAGGTGATCTGACATAGTGCCTTTCATAGAAAATATACAGATAGTTATATATTATCTTATCTTCAGAAACTTTTTCTTGCATCTGAACCCTTAGCGTGGGGTTTTTTGCCTGCTGACATGTAAGACTCACCCTCCCTCCAAACTAAGCAAATAAAGCCCCAAACTTTGTATGTGTGATTTTGTTTGTTTTGGTTTTTTCTCCTAAACAAAATAATCTCTTCCTGTAGATGGATGTTACTGATGTAAGACTCTAAATCACTGTTTCTCACGGGCTAACTTTTTAGCTATAATGTGACCATACCTCTAAGCTATAACCACAGTAAACGTCTATCCTGGATGGGGCAAAGGCATGCTCCATAAGATCCTTTACTAGATCTGTACATCCTTCTCTGGAAAAAAAAAAGAAATAAAACCCCTGTACCAGATGATTTGAAAACTTGTTTTGACAGCAGCTATCTACCGTGTAACAATGATGAACCTTTCCCCTAGTTTCAGTTAGGAGTGGCATCTGTATTCAGATCTATGGCTATATCTGCTTTATCACCTGCCTGTAGCAAACGGATTTTCTGGTAACATAATATCAGCTAAGAGAACATGAGATACTTAGACTTTCAGAATGATTCATTCTATGCAATGTTTAAGACCACAAGCACTTTAAACTAAAAAGATTTCCTCCAAGTCACTGACTCTCACATCAGTTGTTTCACATCTTGTTTTTCATCTCTCGGCAGTGTTTGAAATGAAACTGTATCAGCTATGTACAAAGCAAAAAGACAAATCTATTTAGGAGCAAATCTAGGCTTTTCCTGGTGTTTGCTGAGATACCTAAGAAAATACACTGTATTTCAGATGTTGTACAGCTAGGCCTTGTGTTTGGCAGAACTTTGTTCTGACTTAACTGGGAATGATCCTCCTGGATGTTAGGATTTGTTATGGCAAAGCTTGTGTGGTTTCCATAATCTGTCTGACCAGGATCCTCGTTTCAGGGAGGTTGTGGACAGTAATGTGGAGCTGCCATATACACATCACTTGTTTGTTCCCTGGCACTGGTGTGTAGATCAGATTTTGACCAACAGAAAGAGCATTGTCTTTTCATGTAGGGCAGGAGCAAATGCCTTTTAGTCATGAAGAGTGAAGTCTGCGTGGTCACTCACTCCAAAACAAATGGCTTAAGTCATACAGGAATTTTCTTATCTACCCAAATTCCTTGGCTGCTCCTCCATTTCTGGCATTGGACTTTTTTGAGATTTATATATGCTTTTAGCCACTGTTAGACAGAATGCCAGACTAAATGCGTCTTCGGTTTGACCTCTTCTGTCCATTCTTGTGCAACAATACAGGAATTGACTGTTATTTGTGACCACTTTGTCCCTGTGCTCTTAGCTCTAAGAAGCAAGAGAATGACTAGGAGGAAGATGGGCTCTTCCTATACTAGATAAATCATTTTGATCATGGGAGCGACATGAACATTGAAGTCATATTTGTGTGGCTAAACATTTCAAATATGGTAAACCTATATCATTTGAAGTCCCAAATGCATTGTTAAAATCTTAGAATATCAGTTAGTTGCAAAATATTTTCATAATGTTCTTCTGTAACTATGAACGTTTTTATACAATCAACATTTTTTAAGTGGGATTGTCACTTTGGTATTCTCATTAGCGTTCATTTTTAGTATTTCAAAAGACATGTTTTTTTAATCTTCAGGAATGCATAATTGTAGGTTATGAATCTATGTGTTCTCTCTCAACTTTAGTTTGCACCTCAGTTCAGTTTAAACTGGTTTTTGGTCTGTCATATTGAAAACCCAAAACAAAACAAAAAACCACTTCAAATGGACTCACAAGTATAGTGTTATGCTGCTTACATTTAATGTTCTGTAACATTGGTGGCCTTCAATCACATTTCCATGAGACCTTCCTGCTTTCAGAAAATCATCTCAACTCTTTCTTATCTTGTCACTTTTAAATGATGAACAGTTGGTCAACATCGCGGTGTGTAGAGGTTCCCAAGTTACTGCCAATCCTAACTGTCTATCCACATACATACTGCCTTGTGGAGATGCTAGCTTGATCTCAGGTGTGTGTATATTCACTTTTGTCAGCTTACACTCATCGCTGTGCTGGTGAGGTTATATTGGTGCTTGTTAGAGATGACATGCTATTTACTAGTGTCGCCCTCTCTACGCTTTGTTTACCGGGGAGTGTAAACAAGTCCATGCAGCCATTGAGGAAAAGACAAAGACTGAATGGCCTATCTTTTTGTTCCTCCTGATTTTTGCAACCCTGGCTTAAATGATCATTAAGTACATGAGAAGCAATATCATTACTGTTGAGATTCCCATTATTGTAGGGGACAGTTGTTTGTTGAAAGAAATGGGAAGTCCTGATTGCATAGCTGGCACCATGCTTATTGTTTGCCAGACATAAAAATGTTTTTCTTGTCATCTATATTTTTGGCTGTTTGTTTCACTTGTGGCCTCCACAGTAGTGGAGGGTTTCTCTTACAGAACTGAAGCGTACTTTCCTTTGCTTCCTTTTTAGCTTTTGGGGAGCAAAATACCACTGGTACTTTGTCATCAGGTCTTCAAGAGAATATCCATGGCGTTGCTTCTCAGGGCATATAATTTTCCCAGAAGTCATACAGCAGTTCTCTCCATGAGCTCCAAATGTTGTGTGATACGCAAACATTTATGATCTTTCTCGTGTTCCTCCTTCTTTAAGAATTTTCATTAAAAACTTAACATTTATCTATGGAATCAACAGAATAACTGATGAAATCAAATTCGTCTGTCTTGGAGAATGCTTAAGTCTTCTAGGACTCCATGACTCTATGGTTTGCACTTCTCATGTTTCCTTTCTACATGCAGTGGAATGTCCTTGGGCCACAATTCCTGTTCCAGTTAACACATAAGATAACAAGTGTGCTTGACAAATATGATGTCTCCTTCTTTAACATGCAGAGTGTTTGTTGCTTCTAAGAAACTGTTTTCCGATAGGCATTGTTGCAGACCTAGGTCCTGAAGAGTATTTCAGAAAGAGTGGAAAATGGTTTTAAAAACATGGTCAAGGTGATGAATTTTATACTTGGCATGGGTTTTCCAACCTGTGTGCTGAAATGTTTGTTTTTCTTTCCCCTTTTGACTTTCCCTTTTTACTCAGGAGGATAATACCTAGGGAGAAGTCCTGGGTATTGAAGAAAGCCAGAGAAATCTTATGTTCTTTCTACCACATGCTTTGAGTAGAAATTGAGAGTCTCCTCTATCTTCAGGTCTAAATGGCACTTTGCCATACCTGCTGCTCCCAGGATGTTTGTCTAGAGGAAATAGCATTGCAATAGGCTAATTCACATCCGAATTCTTTTGAAGTCAAAAGGAAGGAGAACAAGTGCATATCCTTTAATGAATCTTTAAAAACCTCTTTGGATGTTTCTTGAAGTTTCACATAACTTTACTGTGCTTTTACATCAAAAGTCAGTTTGCTAAAATTATTTTCATATATGATATGTAGGAGGAAAGCCGAGGAGCTGCACAGGTTCAGACTGTGAGACCCCGAGTTATTAATGTGAGAAGGAAGTCTGAAGAGATGCAACAAGAAGGTAAATCAATGTCAATAAGCAAACATAGTTCTTTCAGTTAAGTACATCACTTTAAAATGTTGTATACTCATGTATAAGAAAATTCTGATTTTTGAAATTTTTTTTTTCATTACTACCACATTCCCAAAATTTCCAATCATTTATATGTGGTCTGTATAAACCTGTGTACATAGTTATGATATTGTTGGGGTGCACTGAAAGGATCGGAAACGTATCTGTAAGCAAGTCATCAGAATCCTTGCAATTAAGTATTTCTTTACATTTTTGTTTGCCAAGAGCATTGTAATGTGCATGTTACGTAGTCAACTGAATCTTAATTGCTTTATAGAATGTTGTTCAGCAAACAAAATATTCATAATGTAGTGATAGGTGGCAGGGGTTCATACACATGAGAAATTGCAGGAGTACTAGAAGAAAACTGAAAGATAACACAAAGTTAACATCATGCAAATGTGGAAAAAAAATTGAGACTTTCAGTGTTAAAATGGCCTGGTTTGAGGTAGGCTTCAAGCTAGTGTGTAATAGATAGTGATTTTCTTTTGTGAAGGATACTGTGTATTATCTGTGCATATCCATGCTATTTTTGGAGATTACTTAACAGTGTTTATTATAAAGTGTTAAGGATATTGCATGAGAGGGAGAGAATATTTTTTGTTTATTGTAGTTCAAGTCAGTGTTGAAATAACATAAACTGTGCATATTACTGCCATATTAAATTGTTTTAGCAGTTAATATATTTGTGGAGGTGGTAGAGTGAGATATGGAGCAATTTTAATCTTGCATGCTAAGAACTGGAATCTAAAAACCTGCATGTCTACAATATATGCAATTATAATTGCTCCACCCTACTATAGACAAATTCTTCCTTCAAGCCCTTTTAAAAATAGTTCTTTGAACTTCTTCCATTTAGTTTTTTAAAAACATCTAATCAAATTATAATTCTGGTGGAATTACTTTGCTTCAAATATTTATAAGTGGTAAGAAAAGCCCTAGGCCAATGTTATTGGTCATGGGATTTGGAACCTAATTTCAAAACCATGGTTTACATATGAAGAAAGTTATGAATAATGTAAAACTTAGCTTCTGTGGACAATTAGTGGAAAAGCTTACAGAACTGAAGCGGCACACCTTAGCGCATGTGTGTGTTTTGTTGTAGGGACGTTTATCAACGCGTCTTTTTAAAGTGGGTAAACAAAAGACTTAGTTTATTAGAAAATGGGATTAACTCTTTCATTTAATATTAGTGGAAAATATTGCAATGACTTTTTCTAATAGGAAGAACTGTATTTTTTCCCTAGTGTTCAGAAAATCCAAATTGCCTAAGGAAAGTGAATTTCTAGTAAACTGAGTATGACCTCTAAATCACCAAAACCAAAATTATGTGACAGGTCTGCCTTGCAGCGTCAACCTGTTCCCAACTTTAAAAGCAATTTTCCTTAATAGCGGTTATAGGAATCTTCCTTTTCTTCTTCCCAACACTTGCTATTAAGCATGAGAGAGAAGGAGAGAAGGGAGAATAGTCTTCCTAACGCTGTACTTCATGCTTTTACACCTCAACTTTGTCTTAAAGTGTTAACAAGACAGCACTTCCAGCCAGTATCGTTGAGTAGGGTCGTAGCGAGGTATGGAAATGGAATACAATACTTTTTATCGAATCTGTTGTTTTCTGGAATATTTATCTTTTTTAAAAAAAAAATTTACCTATGCTGTAATACAAGGTATTTGGGCACAGTCCAACTATGTCTGTGTGTCAGATGAAAATGCTTGACCACGAGGTGGCAGTAGTCAATTTTCTTTGAGTGGAACAAAAAAGAAAGATGATTTATATACCAGGATAATTTAAATCTCACTCAAAGTATACATATTTAATGAGCCAATACAAATCTAGAGGATTTGCAAATGGAAACAACTGTCTGTCAGTTTTAACCAGAAGGTCTTGTGTCTATAAGCTTCACCACAGTGAACTTAATCAGGCAAAAAGTTGAGGGTAAAAATTAATAAGACTCATTTGAAAGAAAAATGAAAACTTGCAACTTGATAAGTATACGTGGGTTTAAGTACATACAATGTTTTAAAATTAAGCACATCTGTTACTGTAAGTTCAAAGCACCCTGTTTATAAAAACTTCATGTCAAACAGTTGCCTTTACTGAGATAGCAAGGGACAATGAGTACTTTCCTGAAAATGGAGAAGCCTTTGAGAGGCAGGACCAGTTAGGTATTTTTTCAGAGTTTAAAAGGTAAGTGGTTCTCTTGGTATTAGCTTAGAAAATCTAAAGCCATGAAACCAGGTGTGTATTCAGGGTGTTAGGTGAAAAGGGGAATAGTTTTGGACTTAGAGTTGGATATAAAAAAAGCCTTTTTAATTTAATTGATAAATACATGACAAGATTCGATTCATATTTTTTCTATGGTCATAAATATATATATGTGATAGAGCTTTCTTTTGCTGTTTAAAAAATTTTTGTGGTCTACAGTGAACATGTGTTTTTACTGAAAGTTGATTGATGTTTTCTAATGAAAGTTGAAGTTCAGTAGGACTGTTACAATATCATGCCTGAAAGGGTAATGTCTCCTGAAAGTTACAGCTGAAAATAAAGCCTGAATGTATTATTAATTGCAGTGTGTGCCTTCTCTAGACATAGTGGAGACAGTGGTTTGAAAATGTATATTTGTAGTATATAATATACATGCATATATATTTTTGGCTTTATAATACTCTTTAATCTTTGTACCATTCTGTCATATATCTTCATAAATTTAATATGATAATAATTGTTGTGGTTAGTGAATGCACATATTTCCAGAATACAAGCATTTTCAGGCTTACAATAACATGATTCAGAATTTTTAAATTAAAATGAAAGAACAGGTGGCAAGGCTTGACTGTAGAGCATTTTTAAACTTTAATATGAGCAGCTCAGAACCAAGAGGTAGATGTATCTTCACGTAATTCTTTTTCTACAGCACAGACTCACAAAATGTGACCTAGAGAGCACAACTTCATGGTAGTAATTCCTTTTTTATCTCCAGCTAGTGAATTATATTTAGGCAGCCGTAAGTACATGGGAAAGTAATATTGGGACACTAAGCAATTGGCTTTGTTGCCACAGAGAGAGATTGCACAGTTGCTTGTGGGAGGAGATGATCTGTGCAATAAATGAGTAAGAGGGCAAGAAGCCCTTAAAACAGTTTGTATAAAAAACAAAGCTTCCAGAGTCCCTGTTCGGTATTGAAAATGGGCTAGTTCTGTCTTAACATTGACATTACGTTGTATTGAAAACTGTAATACTGAAAATATGGCTATAACTAAATATTTCTTTGCCTCTCTTCTTCAGCCAGGAATTGCTCTGAGTTAGGTTTTGGGTTATTTTTTCTTAAAACTATTATGGCATGAGGCAAATATCTAACAGATGCTTCAAGGAAGGAAGAAGATTAGGATAAGGCTAAAGGTCTTTATTTTTTTCTTGGAACTGGAACTGTTTTGGTCAAACTCTTTAACAACTATTCTACTGAAAGTTTACTTTCTTCTTAGTATCCTGCTGTTTCTTTTTTTGGACTGAATTTCACTAAAGGCTTTTGCTAAAGACTGTCTGCACCACCCTGAAAATAGCAGCTAGTGAAGCAAAACAGAGCTATTCTTTCACACTGTAGAGCAACACCACAACCTGAGAGGTAGAAATAGTTTGCATATCCTACATGGCTTCTTGAATTTGACTAATTTCGGAGAGAAGATCTTGGAAATTGAAGTAATGAAATCACTTAGCTATAATTATGGCATTTTTCAAGCAAATGTCCTATTAGAGGTTTATGTAAGTTTTTCACTGCTTCTTCAGAACTCGTACTTCTGGTCTATTTTGACTCTGGTTTTCCTATATACAATTATGTCCCATGCTATCAGACAGCTCATTGACATAATTCAGTTAATATATTTTATATTCAGGCAAGGCAGGAAATGCAAAGCTGCGTTTCCCACATAAACTCTGTCTTTTCTATACATAGTCATTAGCTTTTAGGTGCTCCAAGTGGTTTAGAACACCAGTTCTCAAAGAGTTTTCATTTGCTTTTTCTGCACGTGTCCATAGCAGTTACGTGATAGCCCACGCTTAGAAAACATGCATCTGAGTAATGAGTATGCATTTTGCATAATATCCTGACATAAAATCCTCAGTAGCCACACTTGAGCATTTCTAGTTTGAATTACTGTAAGTCAATATTTAGCTGTGTTACAGTACATTTGAAACAGTAGTTTTGAATTTCTTGGCTTTTGTAAATATTATTTATCTGTTAAGAAGTGCCATTTACATCTATGGTTGCTGCTTTTCCCACTGAGTTACTTCAGTTATTTTTCAGCCAAAATATTAAAACAGAATTTGATTTTTCATAGCTTAAGGCAAAATCTTGCATAGAATTGTTGCTGTAGACAATGATGTCCTTCTGCTCTGAGTGTATTCTGCTGCTTCAAGTCAGGGTCCTGGGAAACCAAGCACCAGGAATGGCTGTGGGCTTCATGGGACTGTGCCCAACCTTACACCCATTCCTGAAAGGTCTCTTTCTGGGAAATGATCCTCCAGTCTCCTAGACCAGTCATTTCTTCCCCTTGCTTATTTGTGCAAAAGGTGTGAACAACAGGAACTACTAGCAGCTGAAGCACGAATCTCTCTGGTATATTTTTTAGACTCCTAGAATATAATTTGATTTTTTGAGTCATCTAAATTAATTGAAATAGAAGTAATCAGATGGAAAAATGAAAAACAAACAATAAAACACTGGTTTTATTTAAAGAAACTTAAAGAAAACTGTACCAAGCAAGCTCATATTGCCTTGCAGTCTGAGGATTTCCTACTGAGTGTCATGCTTGGGTAGAAGTCATTCTCCTCTGGAGTCTAGTTCCACACCTTGTCTCACCTGGCCCTTTTGTTACGGATTGACATGCATTAGGTTTTTGTTCACTTGCCAATTTTCTTCAACTTCTAAGAGGTTGAGAGTTAGTTCTCCTCTTACTGTATGCCTCCTTAAATGGCACAGAGGGATACAGCATGCTCTCACTACTGCACTATTGTCAGGACATTTCTCTGACCTTGTGCTGAGCCTTTTGCTGTGGGAGGTACATGCAAAGGCAGAAACCTTCCCCTTTTAGTCTTCCCTTGGTGCCTATGCCGACGATGCTTTACACCCGTCATGAAATCTGCACAGCTTTGTATATCTTCAAGTTTCCCTTGTACAGTCTGCATGAGAATCAACTTCTGCGCCGTGCTGGATGTGTGTATGGTTAATCTTTGGAGGGAAGATATTTTGCGCTTTTCATACAGAAAAGGAATAAAGCAGGAAATCTTCCAGTGTGGGCTTAAGGAGTGTTTCTGCTCCTATTCAGGAGGTGAGGCTGGTATCTATAGCCCCATTGCTGGAGCAGGTGAAAGCAGTTCACAGTTGCTTCTTGGTGCAACTTGCTTCAAGTGCCTCCTCTGGTCTGTACACAACAGCAGGGATTTTCACTCAAATTCCAGTACCAGTTGTTTTTTTTCTGCGGAAAGGGAAAGAAAAACTTATTCAAACTGACATGATCACTACTTAAAGTATTACTTCCTATGGAGACTGTCAAATACTTGGATTTTTGCTTGTCGTTTTTCAGATTTACTGGGGCTCAAGGTAAATATCCAGAAATCTCATTCGACTCCCTCTTCAAGTCTAGATTTTAAAGGAGTGCAGGCGATCTAATCCAGTGACCTGTGGCGTCCATCAGAGTGCATTTTATATATCACAAACTGAAGTTGAGGGCAGTGACAAAATTAAGTCTGGTATTTCACTGATACATGGGTATTGTAATGTGCAAATTATGAGATACCAGTTTCTTTTTTCATACTGGTAAGCTGAAAACCTGTGGTACTGCTGCATAAAGCATCCAATGTACATTCTGGAGTTTATATGTCCTTTTTGCCTCAAAATATCATGTGGTAATCAGTATGGGTTCCTGAAAAACCTGCTGAGCATCAGCTGTCTGTATCACATTGCACAGACACCAGAGGGTTCTGAGGATCTTCTGTTCTTAAGTATATCTTAATAAAGTAAAGGATTTTACTTCCAAATTTATTAGAATTTCTAAAAAAAAAAATTGATTCATAATTGCATTTGCTTTTCAAATACTTGTGACTGCCGGCTGGAACCAAAGCAGTCCAGACTGCCGGGCAGTTCTGCTAAGCTGCATGCAGCACCGCTGCCTCATCCTGCAATGCAGTTTTCTCCATATTTTCAATTTTTTTTCCCTTTTTACCAGTTGGGAGCGGGGGGTAGTTGATGTTTGATGGTTGGTTGGGTTTGGGTTTCTTTTGTAGGTTGTGTCTCTAGTGGCCAGGCATATTCTAGGCAGAATTCTCATTAAGGGGAGAGTACCTCTTGTGGCTGTATGTCCACTCTTAAGAGTTGTAGTGTATTAGCTGAGAGCTCTAAATTGCTATTTTCCACTTTGGCAGTCTATTTGATCTTTGACCAGTTCCAGTTTCCATTTGTATAAATCCACCTATTGTCAGTCTGTCTGGGGGACAAGCTAGAACATGATGCTTTGTCTTTTGTGTGAGATTCTCATGGTGTGGTGAATCAGCTGCAGTTGCTGTGCATTGCAAGCAGGGTATGGTCTTGATATCAAGTATTAAATACAGTCTCAGATCTCCTGGACACTAACACACTCCTCACCAGTCTATCCAAATTGCTGTGCCAAAGCAGTCTTTCTCACAGCCTGTATAGGATTCATAAACATGCTAGGATCTGACTGAAGCAGCATTGTATTGTGTATTATGATTTGTATGCACTTTTACAAACTTACAGTAATTGCTGTTGCCTTCATTGTAAAGAGCAAAAAATAAACACACACAATAAACCCCCTTAATGGGCACTGATCCCACTGGCACTGATCTTGAGTAACTCTGAATAAAAGCAGATGGTAGCAAGCTGACTAGGCTGACCTGCTTTCCCCTTTCACGCAAACATTGCTTATATAAATGGGGGACACACACAAAAAATTAATGGGCTTGGGCAAGCCACCTAAGGACAGAGACTCCCCATGTACTTAATGCTTACATCAGCCCAAGGGCTGTTTGCAGTTAGCTCTTCTCTGGAGGGAGAAGTTTCTCACAAATTAGTGGTTCCACAGCTCTGAGCCCATAGTTTAATAAGAAACAACTCATGTGCATCTAGAAAGTAAGCATGCTTAGCTGTTCTATGGCCTGTGTTGTGGTAGGTCATG